GCACATTCTGGCGCTCAGTTAACCTGTAATGAGGCAAAAGCAAACCCTATGAAATCTTGTTATGTCCCTAAGCATATAAAAAGCTGACAGATTATTACACTTAGGACCTTTATTACATTAAGGGCCAAAAGTTATTACATTTAGGACCTTTAGGACGTCAGGAAGTCACGTGACTAGTGCCTTGCCGTCAGGTTTGCGGTTTGAGGTTCACGTTTGTACGGCTAGATCACGCTCTAGAGGTAAGTGATTTACCTCAAGGTTTTTTTGCACTCTAAGCCATCACAATCCCACGTTTGACAGAAAATACTTCTTTTTAGAACTCTTTCGTTAATTAATTATTGAACTATTTTTCGTAGAAGCGTAACTTTGAAGACGATTTCTCAGCTAGAATAGAAGTGAACGAATGATTAAAAATAAATTAAACATGGCAGCCACGAGCTACCACCCGCGAATCTTAATTCCTAAATATGGGCAGACTGATAACGTGAAACCGCTAACCGCGGTTTGCCGTTTGCGGTAAGATGGCCAAACCTCGATCTTAAGGTCTCTATCAAGGTCGTCGGTTGACGGCTGAAGAAAAACTTGAGGTAAACGTTTGAGTCGTTTCTACTCGTTTTTATTCGCATGGTTTTATAGTGTTTTTGGGTTGATTTCTTTTCATGTTTCTCTTCTGGTATTCTCTTGCTCCAGTTTGGTTTGCGATATATTTGTTGTCTTGCGCGTTTTTGGGTTATGTAATGTAATTATGTAACGACGCTTATTCTTGGAGGCGTCCGTAGCCTGCAGTGCAGGCGTATTTTGGGTGGGCGAAACCTTGATGGTATTCGTGATATTGTTGTAGCCGCCATCTTTGATTTTATGACAGTGGAAGATTGGGAAGAGTAGAAATAGTAAGCCTTACGGTAGGTGCGAGGGCGAAAGAAGGAAAGGGGGGAGGGGGAGGGGAGAAAAAAAATACGGCGTTTTCTCTTCTCTCTCCCCGCCCCCCTCCCCCCCACCCCCGCTCCCTTTGACTCGCCCTATCTCCTCCTCTCCTCGGGGAGTTTCAACATGGCGCTTTCGCGAGCAAATTGCGCGCTGAAAGAAAACGCCTGCACTGCAGGCTAAGGCGTCCGGGGTTTGTTTGCTGCCAGTTTTGTACAGTATGTTCTTTGGAACTCATTGTTGTTACTTCCCTCGTAGTTGGTTTTTTGGGTTATACATTAGAATTATTTTGTAATGTTTGTAACTTGCTTGTTATTGTAAATAGAGTAAATACACGGTGGCGTTGTTTGGATAGGATTGTTGTGGCCAGTGAGGCAATAGCCTGAGTATCAGGCGTTTCTGGGGGAAAAGGGGAAAGATGCAAGCAAAAAAGGGAGAGAGCTTCTCCCCCTCCCCCCTCCCCCATCAAAAATCTCCTCTCCCCTATCCCCTTAGGAAGGCCTGATACTCAGGCTAGTGAGGCAATTGTGATTTGCCTGCTATTGTCATAGCCTGAGTATCAGGCCTTCCTAAGGGGATGGGGGAGAGGAGATTTTTGATGGGGGAGGGAGGAGAGAGGAGAAGAGAAAGGAAGGCCTGACACAAAACCATTCAGCAAATCGTGTGACACTTCCAGAATCCGGATGTGGCAGTGATTGGATAACACACAATACTCCCTGACGTCACCGATCGCAAGTAAACACGAGCAGAGTGTTTTGATTTCATGTGGTAATTTTATGGATAGAGACGCAAAGAGGAATTCAAAGAGACTCTAGAGGGCGCTCTCAAGTTCTTTCCGCGAATAAAAATAAAACCCGAGCAAGAATAGTGTTTTCAAAGCCTCGTAGTTAAAAGGAAAGATGTTCTCGGAGTATGGAAAAGCCTCATATACCAGCTTCTGCCGAATCTATGTCCGAGTATTGGTTTCACAAGACCAGGACAAAGAAGACGATATCAGTGCTTCAGATATCTAAGTTTTGATTTACAACATCCTGCCGCTAAAAGGGTATTGTTACTGTAAATAAAATTAGAGCGAGGTAGCCATGTATTGAGAATAGCCGACAGCACCAAGGCTTTAGCTTGACTTTAGATTTTTCCTCGGACGATTTTCGGCCTGATCTACAGCAGCTTTTTAGCTGCCAGATTCTCAGGAACCTGCTTATTAATGAGCGCTGCTGTTGTAACTCTGTAAACAAAAGCAGTTTACAGTTTTCCGGGCTCACGTTTATTTACAAACAGAGCGTTGGCGATCTTACATTAGCACAATTCCTAAAACATGTTATAAAACATGTTCAAAAACGGCAGGTTTTCCATGAAAAGGATTCGAAAACTCCTCATTGGAGGTTTCAGAAAAAGCGAAATAGTAGCAACACAGGCACCAGAGCTCGGCCAGACCGTGTGGTGAGATTTATTTTAGCGAGCTTTTTGACACGTGAAGCTGACAACCCAATGACCGGATGTGATTTTGATTGGATGGTATCGAATCATGCTGTGTGGGGGTGGAAAGTTCCAGTAAAAGCATCTGTGTCAGGCGTTTCTCTCCTTCAGCTCTCTCCCTTTTTCGCTTCCATCTTTCCCCTTTTCCCCCAGAAACGCCTGATACTCAGGCTACTATTGTCATGGCGTGATTCTCTCAGCAAGGTGTCTGTTTGATGATCATGACTGTGAAATGTTGTATGGCCACTGAAGAACGTAATTTGCTTGTTATTGTCATGACGGAGTTGGGGAATTATTATGACCAGTGAGGCAATTGTGATGTGCCTGCTATTGTCATGGCGTGATTCTTTCAGCAAGTTGTCTGTTCGATGATCATGACTGTGAAATGTTGTATGGTCAGTGAAGACTATGTATGAAGAATGAAGAATAAATGTTGGATAGAGTTGTCGTGGCCGATGAGGCAATTATGATTGGCTTGCTATTGTCGTGGCGTGATTCTCGCAGCACGTTGTCTGTTTGATGATCATGACTGTGAAATTTCAAAATCAGTAAAGACATCGGTAAACTGTGGCAAAGAGTCTTACGCGAGAGAAGCGCGCGAGGCGAGCCTCACACGCCCGTAGGGCGTGTGAGCTTTTTTGGCGTCTCTCCCCAGTCTAGCCTGCGTGCAGACGATAACTAAACTCTGATTAGTACCGTCTGCGAAGCAGCGCAGAGATCCTTGTTCTGGACCCCCAACGGACTCAACGAATTACCGGAAGTGCGTTTCGAATTCCCCTTCAACCTGATTGGCGATCACGACAAACAAAACAAAGGCCTTTTTTAACTGGCCAATCGTGGCGCGTACTCAAATCTGGGTACACAGCTGGAAGTCCAGAACAAGGATTTCGGCGCTGTTTCGCAGACGGAGTTAACCAGAGTTTAATTTCGTCTGCGCGCAGGCTATCCCCAGTCTGGCTCACTGTTTTTCAGCCTCCTTCCAGACCTTTTGTTTGACTGCTCGCGCGTACTTGAATACGCAAAATTCGGACTGTTTGCAGTCTAAGGGCCTGTTTATATGGAGGTGGGGGACCCCAGGTAGGTAACCCGCCTGTCCATATAATCTCTCATTTTAATGTAATCACATTTACATGTTAGGTGGGGTAACCCGCCACATGTTACCTCACCTACCTGGGGTCCCCCATCTTCATGTAAACAGGCCCTAAGTGAGGCGCGTAATTTTATTGTTACTGTTATTTGTCTGATATTGTCTTGACATGACCAGCCCAGATTAGCGAGTTAACGATTGTGACGGTTGTTCTTGTGTGGCATGAAATTTGCTTGTTGTTATGACGCAATCGCTGAATATTGCCTAGAATTGAGAATCAACTTGTGCAATTCCTTTGTTTTTTTTTGGCGTTATAACACTTTGGCACAATGAACGTTTTTGGCGTCTCTCCCCAGTTTGGCTCTCTGTTTTTCAGCCTCCTTCCAGACCTTTTGTTTGACTGCTCGCGCGTACTTGAATACGCAAAATTCGAACTGTTTGCAGTCTAAGGGCCTGTTTATATGGAGGTGGGGGACCCCAGGTAGGTGAGGTAACCCGCTTAGGTGGGGTAACCCGCCTGTCCATATAATCTCTCATTTTAATGTAATCACATTTACATGTTAGGTGGGGTAACCCGCCACATGTTACCTCACTTACCTGGGGTCCCCCATCTTCATGTAAACAGGCCCTAAGTGAGGCGCGTAATTTTATTGTTACTGTTATTTGTCTGATATTGTCTTGACATGACCAGCCCAGATTAGCGAGTTAACGATTGTGACGGTTGTTCTTGTGTGGCATGAAATTTGCTTGTTGTTATGACGCAATCGCTGAATATTGCCTAGAATTGAGAATCAACTTGTGCAATTCCTTTGTTTTTTTTTGGCGTTATAACACTTTGGCACAATGAACGTTTTTGGCGTCTCTCCCCAGTTTGGCTCTCTGTTTTTCAGCCTCCTTCCAGACCTTTTGTTTGACTGCTCGCGCGTACTTGAATACGCAAAATTCGAACTGTTTGCAGTCTAAGGGCCTGTTTATATGGAGGTGGGGGACCCCAGGTAGGTAACCCGCCTGTCCATATAATCTCTCATTTTAATGTAATCACATTTGCATGTTAGGTGGGGTAACCCGCCACATGTTACCTCACCTACCTGGGGTCCCCCATCTTCATGTAAACAGGCCCTAAGTGAGGCGCGTAACTTGTTTATTGTTACTGTTATTTGTCTGATATTGTCTTGACATGACCAGCCCAGATTAGCCAGTTAACGATTGTGACGGTTGTTCTTGTGTGGCATGAAATTTGCTTGTTGTTATGACGCAATCGCTGAATATTGCCTAGAACTAATAATCAACTTGTGCGATTCCTTTGTTTTTAAATTGCGTTATAACACTTTGGCACAATGAACGTTTATTTGGTCAGTGAGACTTGAGGCCTGTTTGCTAACGCCGTTGTTAACGCCTGATACTGAAAGGGAAACGTTTTTGTGGTTATTATTATGAGTTCTGTATAGAATTTGTCTCGGCTTATTGCTCTCCATAGGCGCTGCAGCTTAAGTATGAGGAGTTAAAGAAGTCCATGGACGCTCTCACCAAGTCCTCGGCGGATAACCTTCTGGAAAAGATTCGTCACCTGGCTTCCCGCCCTGTTCCGGAATTCAATAGGTTTGAGGCCCTAGACCTCTTAGAAGCTTTAAAGAATGCGGCTCAAGATACAAAGCACGAGAAGGCGGGTTATTTTCGCCTCGCGTTTGAGACTCTTCGTGGGAAAGCTGATGAACCCAACGACCAGTTTCGTAATTGTCTCCTTCCTTTGCTTGGTGATAAGGACCAGGAGAGGTGTTAGAGGTGGTGGCGAAGGTTGAGAAGAATAATCGTCGAAAGACATTAGTCAGTGAGGCAGAGTTCGGGACCTGGTAGAAGAGCCATGGCATCCCCTTATATGGGGGTTCGTTGCTACTATTGTAATCGCTCTGGGCATACTCAGATAAATTGTTTCAAACGGAAACCAGATTTGGGCGGGCCTTCTGGTTTTTCCCGTGCGGCTCCTCAACCAAATGTTAACGCAAATTAGAATAAATAGAGAAATAACTGTGTAAAGTTCGAGCAGTTTATAATTTCACTGCAATTTCATTGTACTACCTATGACGGATTGTTGGTAATAATGATAAGGATGTTGGAAATAAATGATTTTCTCTGTATTGAGTAGCCTATTAATGTTCCTGGATTCTTTCCCTTGTATAGATAATAAGTTTTCCAGGGTTTGTTTGGAGTGACAGTTATGAAAAAGAGTATCTAAACAAACTCCCCCGGTTATGCTGGGTCATGTCTGTCACCCCTTGCTGGCCCCGTGGGTTCCCCCACTAACGTTCTGTTTCATTCATTCGTGTTTGTAATCAGAATATTTTTTCCCTTCCCTTCTCAGAATTCTTGTCGTTTGACTTGGGATTGGGAGTGCGACTCGGAATTTGAAGGAAAACTTTACGCACTCAGTATTCTCCAAAGTCAATCAATTGGGTTGATTGGTTGGGGAACTCAGTTGGGATCGGCACTGGGGTAGCAGTCTTAGAGCTTTCGAGAGAAGAAATTGACCAGATTTGCCATGGAGATAAACTTGGAGACCCTGCGACATTGCGGTTTAGAGACCCTGCTACTTTTCGCGCTGGGGAAGTTCACAATTACTACCATCAATGGCAGGATATAATTGGCGGTTCTCCATCCGCTCAACAAGTTCAGGTTTTGAAATGGATAAAAGATAAAGTCTCTATTTTTGAATACTTTTAACCCTTCTCTGGTAGTTTCAAGGGGAAACAGTACTGTTCGGATTATCCACCCTCTGAACTTTTCAGGAATAATATGTCGTGTAAGCCGTTCGCGGATTTTGTGAGAAGTACACTGCTTGATCGCTTAGCCTCGGGGGCAATTTCTCTGAAGGGAAAGGTGGGAGAAGTTGATCCGCCCCATCTGGTCCCTCCTCTGACTGTGGAGCCCACCAAGCCGAGATTATGCCATGAAGCTCGCTTTTTAAATCTATGGATGAGTGACATGCCTTTCAAGTTAGATACCCTTTGCGATTTACCAAGATATGTGGGCCTTGATACCTATCAAACAATACTTGATGACAAGTCCGGGTATGACCATCTCCTCTTGTCAGTGGAAGGTAGAACCCTTTTTTTTTGGTATGCAGTGGGGTGGGTGGTACTTTGTTTACAACACCCTGCCTTTTTGCTGGAAGATATCTCCTTTTGTATACCACTCCACTGGTTTAGTAGCATCTAATTTCTTCCGATCAATGGGGATACCTTGTTCATTGTACATTGATGACCAGCACAATGGCCAACTTCAGATCTCACCCAACCAAGGAGCCTATGCGAACCTTGCAAATCTCGATGAACATAATTAGCACTTGCGAAATCAGCTATCTTTTTGGTAGCTTATTTTCTGATCAAGCTAGGATATTTTCTTGGTTTGCCCAAATCTATTCTGATGCCTCGTAAGATTGTCCCATATTTGGGTTTCCTGTCCGACTCCTCTCGAGAGGTATTCCATCTTATTCCTGAAAAGAAGGAGAAGTTTCTTGATCTTATTGAACAAACCCTGGCATGTTCAATAGTCTCAGTCAAAAGCCTCCAGCGTTTGGTGGGCAAATGTGTGTCATTTTCACTGGTGGTTAGGGGAGCGCTTCTGTTTACCGGGGAGATGAATAATGCTATTTCCAAGGCTCTACGCACATCCTACCAAGTTACATGAGGCACTGAGGGAGGAAATCTCACATTGGCTTTCTCTGCGTACGTGGGACGACCCGCTTCCCTGCAGGGATGAACGTCATATCCGCATATCCTTAGCAACAGATGCCTCAGCCTCGGGTTGGGGTGGTTCAATAACTTTGAGTGATGGTACGGTTGAGGCCTCTGACTAATGGACGAAGGAAGAGCAGGAGCTTGATATCCCCACAAAGGAGGCACTGGCGCTTGACAAGGTCCTTCTTTCCTTCGCCGACTCTTTAAAGAATGCATGGGTAGATGGCCTGGTTGACAATCAGTCAGTAGTCTACTCCTGGCAAAGACAAGGGGGTAGGAGTATGTCCTTAAACAGGGCGATTAAGAAGTTATTTTTCACAACTTCAAAGTTAAATATTGCCCTCCATTTGACGTACATCACATCAAAAGAAAATGAAGGGGACGCACCCTCGCGCCGTCTCACAACTCTTGATCGCAAACTCCATCCGAAGTTATAGCAAAGAGTACAACAAGAGTTTGGTGTTCCAAAGGGACACACGTGTGACTTGATGGCACTTGATTCGAACGCAATGACAGACCAGGATGGTTCCTGTTACCCCATTTTACGCCCCACCCATCGCCGCAATCCTGTGGTGTCAATTTCTTTGCGCAAGATCTATCAAGTGGAGCCCCGTTTCTGGAGTACCCTTACGTTTTCCCGCCTCTCTCTCTCTGATGGGTCCTGTTCTGCGTTTTCTGAGACCCCACGGGCCGTCGTGCACGGTCATAGCCTTGGATGTTTATCCGAAAAGGTTTTGATGGCCTCTTATCCAAAGTTGTGCCAGTAAATCGTGTAGATTAGCAGTAAAGGGGGTGGTCTGGGGCACTTCTGTTACCTTCCAAACAAGGTTGGATTCCCCATCCTGGGATCCCTGGGGATCTCTGGGCTTTTGGTGTACGATATTAGGGCATATCTTGTAATTGACTTTGAACAGTAACTATAAACGCATTTGCAACTGCTTTATAAATTTTGTCTTGTTCCGTGGAAATTGTACGTTTTGCTAGTATTGTATACTTTGATCGAATAAAACTTCAATTTCTATTATATGAGCGTTTCCTCTTCTTCCTTTTACTAGGATTTACCTGTGGTCGCAAAGCTGTTCACTCCTTCTGTGAGGTGTCCAAATTGTAGTTATAGCAATGATTCCAATTTCCGCTTTTGCCAACGATGCGGCTATAAAAGGAAAATCTTAAACAACAAAAGTAGTACGCCTTTCGATGTGGATGTGAACACTATTGATGATCGTCTTTGGCAATTGGCCTTGTTTGATCAAGCAGCTTGTTACTCTAAACATAAAGTCTCGCTTCAAAGGGAATTAGAAAATTTCCTTTCCTCTCTACCAGGCTCTATTAATTACAGTTGCAACTATTACACCACGCGATATTTGTCGTTTCTTGGTGCATAAAGACAAGAATGGGAAAACCCAGGTTCATCGTAACGGATGCCATCATCTGGGGAAGAGAGGCACATTTGATTGTGCTTGCCCGTTAAGACTTTCCTATAAAACTGCAGAGTCGTATATTGGTAAATTACGGGCGATCTCCCACGCTATTGGGCGTGACGGGGAATGAGATAGGCGCCTTGGCTTTGGAAACCCGGCTGCAGATAAATCTGTTAAGGACTATCTCCGTTTAGTTACGGCTGGGCAGCTACAGGCAAGAGTAACGCCGAAACAAGCTTCCCTATCTTTTGTGGACAAACTTGCTCAATTATCTGACTACATCGGTAGAAATCTGCAGTCTCCCAATATCACTCCAACACAGCGTTTTATTCTCGCAAGGGACCAGGAGTACTTTAAAGCGGTATTTTTTAGTGGTGATAGGCCTGGAGATATGGGCCTGGTGAAGGTACCAGAAATTTTGAGATTCTCAAATGATGATGGTTTTCTGTTTAACCACGTGTGGGGCAAAACCTTGAGAGACGGTGATAATAATGTCTTTGGGATCAAACGAAACCCACAAACAAAGATCTGTCCTGTTCAGGGAATAGAACATTATATGGCATTGGCTCAGCAACTAAGGATCGATTTAACGAGGGGTTATCTTTTTCGCCCAACTACTCCTCAAGGGGGCATACTCGATGCACCATTCAGCTCAACTGCGGCGGAAGCTCGTTTAAAGGGATACCTAAGGGAGATGGGGTCAGACGATGGAGAAACTCTTCATGGCTTCAGAGCCGGATGTGCCATAACCCTGGCATTGTCAGGAGCAGAGTTGTCGGAAATCATGGATCATGTAGGATGGACACGACGACATACTCCTTTACATTACTTAACAATAATAATAATGGAATTTATATAGCGCTTATACATCGCTGTTCTAAGCGCTTTACAATATAAAAAAGGACATAAGAATATCATCAATCACAAGCTTACATATAACCCTACTGTACATATTGAGAAATTTATAGCATACACATCTTAAAAAGGAAAGAAAACAAAAACAAATATGATGAAACTAAATGTCATATACCTTTTTAAAAAGAAAAGTTTCCAACTTAGATTTAAAAAGATTAACATCAGAACAAGCTTGAATTTCAAAGGGGAGCTTGTTCCATAGTCGGGGGGGCAGCAACTGAAAACGCTCGCTGGCCATAAGTTTTCATGTTAAAATTTGGTTCTTCACCGCGTAAATGATCATTGTGACATTGTGTCGTCAAAAATCACGCCAAGATTGCGAGCCTGTTGAGAGGGCCTGATGTTTTCCATGCCAACAGAAATCGTGGGAGGGGGCAACGAATGACGAAAACGGTAGTGCAGAAAGAGAAAAAACTTGTTGGCAGTCATCCACAAATTGATGTCAGCAACGCAGTTCTCAAGACGTTGTTTTGCAGCCACTAGATCAAAGGTGTCATTGCAAGCAAAAGATGTATAAAGCGGCGAGTCATCAGCATAAAAGTGAAACGACAAGCCATGCTCACGAACAATATCACCCAGTGGAGGTGTATACAATAAGTAAAGCATGGGGCCTAGGACCGAACCTTGAGGCACACCCCAATGACGCGGTCGTACCGTGGATGAAGCGTCGTCTACTTTCACAAGCTAAGTACGGTCTGTAAGGTAAGATCGTAGCCAATCCAGGGCTTTTCCTTTTACTTGCAATTGGCCAAAGTTCTTAACTCGGCGGGTGCATCTGTTCGATTATCGACAGTAGACATCCCTACTATTCACAATACTCAAATCGAAGCGCGAAGCCAAAACATTAAAATAACAAGTCTCATGCACAAGGGTATGCAGGTGAACGGGGCCCTGAATCCCAAGGGCAATAATAAATGCCGTTGAACAGTCCCTCTCCGCTCAGTCTCTGATCAGCGCCAAGGAGGAAGGTGGAACGGCCCACCCTCACCAACCCTTTCTTTGCTAAAAATTCGTGTTTGGATCGGGGATCGATAACAGTTTTCACCTCCTCAAGGGCGCTCGATCAATTTTCCCATATCTTAATAACAATGAGCGCGAGCAGTTGAGTGTTGTGAAATAGGATACTAAGTCAGCCTACTGGTCAAGCGGGCATCGATGTCCAGTTGTGTGCGTAGCAAATGTTTCAAGGGGAAGGGAAAGGGGAAACGGGCGCCCAAAGAATTAGAAGGAAACGGCTGCAAGGATGCCATTATTCGATCGTTTTCAGTGTACGCTCAGATTCTGAGAGTAATGGAATTAAGTCCTTGTCAGATACAACGCCTGCCTTTGTAGAAATCAGTACCACACTAATATGAATATCGGCCGTCCTCAAATAGCACGCGGATCAGATCCTAACCACAAGCCGATGAAGATGGGATGTATCCACGTCTGGATACTTGCCTGACATTTAAACAGTGAAGTAACTGAGCGTCAAGCGGAGGTCAAATTCCCGCGGGAACGGGAAAACAAAACGGAGGTCTCCTCAAGTGACCTTATTTAATAACAAACTCGGTCTGTCAAGGGCATTTGAAACCCTTCAACCCCTAAACCCGATTTCAAAACATCAAAACAAATTTAAGATGCAAAGGCGGACACAAAATTTGAAGGTAAAAGCCAGACACAATAGTATTTCTTCTGTTAACTTCTTTCAGTTTTATGCGTTTTTTGTCTCATTTCTATCAAGAAGTTCAAGAAATACGAGATATGCTTCATGTGAGATGGCTCCCGCAATAGAAATGAAGACTGTACGTAGGCGTTCCCTTCCCTCCTTCTTCTCCCGTCTATCTTGTTATCTCTCACCTCAGTTTCCCCTTTCCCTTCCCCTACAAACGCCTTCCACGCAGGCTAGTGCCGAGTCTGCGATTGAACTTCGCTTAGGTACAAAGCTTTTGCAAGTAGGGATGTATTATAAAACGCTTTAAAACAAAAGTTCTTACTTCAGGCAAAGGATGCAAAAACTAACTTTAATCTGGTAGGATGTGTTTATGTGAGTGCCATGTAAGTGTGTCTGGTCAACGCGCTCTGAGGAAATAGAAAACGTCTGCATCGATTTCTCCGGTTTCCCGAGTCCCCATACAGATTCAATATGGGGCTCCTGAAGAACGCACATTAGACGTAACACGTATGCATCTGCGGTAGACTACGAGCAGTCCTTTAAATTCGCAAGATTTCTCCCCTCCCTCGTAAAAATAGTGTAATAGGCCACGAGGCAGTGTCAGTATTTTTCTTAAAAAATACCAAAAGTTATGCAAGCTTTTAAAATATGCAGTCAAACCCTGGTCAACTAGGAGAATCTGTTGGGGAGAGGTCGTTTAGTGACTAAGGTACTTCGAGGGCAACAAAGTATACAGTTCACTGCATCCAATAACCTTGATGCAATCCAAGCGCTATATCCAGAGGATATCTCCCAGTATAGTGAGTATGAATGTCAATTCTAGGACGTAGCTAAGGGCAATCAATAGCACAGTCTAACCTTACAATAGAGAGAAAAAACCGAAAATATTAAATATTGTATTGTTGTTTGTTTTGTTCTGTCTTTGTGTTGTTGCTGAATGAGGCTCACTCTATTTTTGGGTATTATGCTGTGAGCCTCATTAATGAGCTATTACTTACCAAATACTATTGATTGCTATCGATTTCCGATACTGATCAATAACAATCAGTAAATGATATTATTTGACATTGATTTCCGATATCGATTTCTATCGATTGACTTGATACAATATGCTGGTGACAATATACACATAGTAAAGATGCTCGGACAATGCAAAACTGCTTCTATATGTAGCTAACAATTGTATTGACTTTTCAGTAATCTCGTAAAGCTAAAACTAACCTATACACCCAGCCTATACAATGCAAATCCAAAAAATAAATAACTTGTGATATTACAGTCCCTGAAAAAATGGAGGGAAATTTCCTAAGTCATTTAGTTAATGAACTGACTGCTTACTATTTACACCAACATTCTTTAATAATATCAGGAAAGAGAAACATGCTTGGCGATTTTGTTAGTTTTCTTTGTTCCAAAGCGTCGCCAGCAACTCCACCCTTTAGAAACTACCGACAAACGTCTTTCTTAAAATCCTTTCAATACAATTTTATTTTACAGTCTGTGGACGAAATGATGGAGCAGCTGATTTCCTCGAGTAAATAGCAAACAGCCATAAATACGTTGCCTCTGATTTGTGTGTATTTCGTTCATTGCCACAAGCTCTATTGTGTTGCAATTGGCTGACATTCCCTCCATGTTTCACTGCTTCAAAAGCTAAGAAAGGGAAATGACGTTCTAGAACAGACAAAAGAGACAACATAACATTGTTGTGAGAATGATGTTCGTGTGTGTGCAGGGGGAGGCGGGAGGGGGGGGAGAAGTCGTGGCAGGAGGCTAGTTCGACATTCTTCTGGCTGAATTCACAGAAACCGGAACTGGCATTCCAGTATGTTTTCCACACGTCGACTGCGAGAGCGCCAAAAATGTTGCAAGGGACGCTTGCGAAGTGAGCGAAAGCGAGTAAGAAAGTCACGAGACGAGTGATGCATAACCAGCAGAAACCGGAAACGAGCTTTGAGAGTGCAGACAATAGACCAATTTTGACAATTCATACTTGGCTACGAGTCTTCGGGGAATAAATCAAAAGAAATGTGTTGTTCATTTTGGAGCCCCAAGATGATTTCTTTAGCATTATTCCCCCAAGCCTCGCAGTCCCGTATGAATTTTAATATAACGAAATTGGTCTGTTATTTTGACTTTTAATGATGTGGCCACACAGCTACTGAGGGCAAGAGGAAGCTGTTGTCAAGCATGAAAGGTTTCTTACCCTAGACTATAAACAAACAAAATAAGTATTTTACCTTGCTGATAGTGTCCTTGAATTCATTGTAGGCAATTTCAAGATCATCATTGACAATTATACTATGAAAATTACCAGGTTCTTCAGCTGAAGTGAAAAAGAAAAAGAATTAAAAGAAGAGATGATTAACCTGGGGTGCTTACCATTTACATAAATCATCCGGCTGGATATCTTGTGCATAACAATGAAAAAATTTATCAAATAATCATAGTCTTGTTAAGAATCCCAAACCAGTTTGCTATTTACAAGTGCTGTGAACAAATACAGATTGGGCTCACTGAGGGTGGGACCTGAACTCATGGTCACATGGATAGGATAGCGCTCTAATAGACTGGCCATACCACCTTCTACAGATGACAGCATTGTAATTCTTGATACTTGGTCATTAGCTAATGAAGGCTCATAAAGGACGATAGATATGGGGGATAAAGATACAGTCGAACCTCTCGGTACGGACACCTCTCTGTTACGGACAGTTTCCCATAACCCGACAAAATTTCCATATATTTTCTTTAAAAAAAACCTCTATAATACGGACTCTCTCTAATGTGGACAACGGACACTAAATCTTGGCCCCAGAGAGTAAATTTATATCAACTTAACCTCTTTATTACGGACACTGCGGTAATCAGGTGAATCCCGAATCCCAATTAGGTGAATCTGCACAGGGTGAATCCTATCTAGTCTGGCTGATGAGCTATGCAAGGTGATATAAAGCCCAGTTGCTGTATATGAAACAACGATTTGCGAAAGGTGTACAGAGGAACACAACTGACTTTTTGAAGGCTTCAATAACTACAGATAGCATAACGATTTTTTCTATTACATTTCGCGCTCTAGTTACTGTTTACTGCACTGGCAAAATAGCAAAAGATGCTTTCAGAATTGTGCTTTACATTACAACTTTTTACATGCAGCATTGCGCTGTGGCTCGTTTCGTTTCAAAACGGTAATTTGTTTATAGCTGAGATGTACAATGTTCTATGCTACTGAAAGACAGTGTCGTATTGTGAATTAATAACTTTAAATGCTGTTTAAAGACGAGTGTTAGCCTGGTTATAGCTACTGAACAATTAAAACTGTAACTGGAGTCATAAAAGTGACGTCATCATAGTGACCTCTTTCATACGGACACCTCTCTAATACGGACACTTCGCTCTCTCCCTTCGGTGTCCGTATTGAGAGTTTCCAATGTATAGTTAAAATAAGTGTGATTTAAGTGTTGCTGAAGAATGTCATACCATATGCAAGTTCAGTCTTTGCTATGTTTAACCTCCTTGAAAGTGATTCTTCTGTTTCTGTGCCACGAGCACGAAGACGTCTTTCCTACAGAAAACAAACTCAGAAATTGACTGAAAATTCAAATTTAAATTCAAATAGAGAAGACAAAGGAAAACAATAAAGTGATGTGTTTGGAAATCAGGAAAAAAAAAATCATCCCTGCATTTCAATTTCCCCCTTAGTTAACTGTTGTTCTGTGTGTAAAATGACATGCACAGTGAAAATCCGACATTGCAAATTTGCTACTTTTCATAAATTCAAATATGCAGGTGTATTTAACAGAAAGTGTGCATGATCATACAGCACAGTTCAATGTGCAAGATTATTCTTGTCAATGACTTAGTGTTTGTGATCTCCCTCCCCCTTTTGACAATGTTGCTAGCATATACTACTTAAGGAAACAAATTTGAAGGGAGGAGAGGGAGGGGGCCAGTGTTATATCTCACAAATGCATGTCAAGCAGATATTTTGGGTAAAAAAGGCAGGCTTCTCTTCAGAGTGTCTCAACATTTTTGCAACTGGTCGTCGCTGGTTATGCAGAGAAAGCCAGAAGATTTGAGCAAATTAGATTACATACTATTTATTAAACTAAATGAATAATAAATTATTAGCTTAATTGTAGGGGACCAGCTAGCAAACCCGCAGTACCAGGCACCATGTAAAACAGTTATGTACCAGTTCTTCCAGTGATGGTGTCTTTACAAAAATATAGTAACAATCCATGCCTGTTTTCTTTAAAATAACAACTCCCTGAAAAACAAAGAAAATAATTATTTACATTCTATTGTAGAACAAACTGTTGCTTTTTTTAGGAGACTTTTAAACATCCAAAGATAGGACATGAAATGTTTTACCAAAGCATAGTTTACGTATCTGGTTTATATGTTGAGTCTGTGTATTCCCTATTAATGTGCAGTCCTATTCTCCTTTATATCTAAAATGAACAGAAAAGGAGACGCTGCTCTCACTTGACACAATTAATATGCTAGGCAGATAATGTATTTTTCACCTGCTTTTTAATTCTATTCTCCGTAAGACAATCTGAAATCTTGATTGTCAGCACTAACATGCTTATTTAAAAACATTTTGTTTCCAAAATTTGTTGAAACATTTTTTGAAGGTTTAAAATCCACCTTTTTTGACACCTTAATAGGTTTAGTTTGTTCACTACTGTCCATAAAACTTCACCTTTAGTCACCTACAGTGCATCATGACGATATGGGTGTATATGATGATTCTTGAATATTAAAGTGCCAGCACATAACTTAAGTAAAGCAAAGTCACTGAAGGCTCTGTAAGAAGTTACATTTTTAGTTTGGCACAGATAATAACTAGAGTTGCAAAGTCTTGTTGCTATTAAAAGTCGGATTAGCTCAATGGGATAAGTGCTGGTCTGCTAAGCCGGAGGCCGTAGGTTCAAAGCCTGGCCAGGGTCTTTAAATAAGTGAGGAGAAAGTGCTGCCTAAATAACATCTGCAAATGGTTAGCCTTTCTAGTCTTCTCGGATAAGGACGATAAACCATAGGCCCCATCTCACAAGCCCTTGCACATGTAATAAATCCGTGGGACATTAAAGAAACCGCACACTCTTCGTAAAGAGTAGGGTATGTAGTGCCCGGTGTAGTGGTCCACATGTATCTCACTTTCACACTCACTCCTTCATTACTTGTAAACTGCAACTTAAGCAGTCTGGCAACCAGTCCCCTAACCAGTGTTGTAAATTATCCCTGAAAAGCCCTGAGAGGAGTGGATAATAACATATTTACAATTTACAATTTACTTGTTCTCTCCAAAACTGTGGAGCTCTGCAAACAGCATTACAAGTCAGAGAAAAGAGAGAGTAAATATGCTGGAATATTCTAAAACTCAAATATAAACCAAGTATCAGAAAAATTCTAATTTTCTTGTTCCTTGGATGAAAACTCCAAGTGAAATATTTAAGTTCCTAATCAATCACTTCTCTTACATGCAATATCTCTTCCTTACTGAAACAAACACTACATATTTTTATCAAAACACAGTCAATCATTGTTCCCTTATCATATTTATTATTATTATTATTTGGTAAGTTTTATACCTGCATGTCAATGTCCAGTAAACAAACTTTGCCTGCATCAAGAACATCTTGAACTGCCTTTTTACTGTAACATTCAGGATCAAAAGGGAATTAATTAACTGATTCAAATAACCATTATAAAAAATGGTCATTAGAGCTTGCTTTTTGATCATTTTAGTATAATGTATAAATTATTAGAATCTAGTATAAAGTGTTGTAACTTAAGGCCTGTTTATATGAGGTGAGCAAGAGCAGTTAGCCTGGCTGACCTGCTTTGCTGGGCTGGCTCGGCTTATGCCTTCTTACCTCATAAAATTTGCATTATGGTTATATGAGAAGGCAGGAGAGCCAAGCTGGCCAAGATCTTGGTTGCTCAAGCCAAGATAAAGTAAGCGGGTCAGCCCACCTTCTCATTTAAGAAATAAGGCATGAGCCCGGCCCAGTAAAGAGGGCCAGCCTGGCTCACCTCATTATATTCAGGCCTTTAGAGGAAAGTTGCTATCATGGTGAAATGCACAAAATAACAACTGCCTTAGATATCCCTCAGACAAGTCTTGTAACTGACTAACGGCATCAGGTGGACCTTAAACGCAGGGCTATTAGCCTATGAAACACAGTATGTCTAGGGTTAATAATGTTATGCACATGAACAAAAATTGAACATAATATTTCCATGCTGTCAGAATTAAAGGCATGAGAGGCCACACCCAAGAGCAGGTCATTAGGAGCTACTGAATACTGTTAGAGTGAGCAGTAAAATACTAGCAAGGTTTAACAACACACAAAAATGTAAATCTTTGATCTGCTTCTTGACAATATTACACTCAATAGCAAACACTGATTGATCAACCTCAAGCTCAACAGACAGCTTGTAGATCCTCATATCATTATTTCAATAATATTAATAGTTGAGAGTGGTTTATTTAGAAATACTGTATTTATTCAGTTAAGTGCTCTGGGTGCTTATGAAATTTTTGGACATTAAAAGTGGGTGCTTATTTGAGGCTGGGCACTTCTTAAAATCTGACAATTTTAAGCAATTATGGCAATTTTATGTTGCAGCAAAACGTGAAGATGTTCCAAACCAGAATTTGAACTATTCATTGACAGTTTAGAAACTGGGTCTTTAGGCAAGTCTCTTTTTTGTAATAGTCTATTTAAATCTCTTTGTCAGTAAGGTCGAATTTTTTTCTGGTGGAGAGTAGTAGAGGCTGGGTGCTTATTAACTTTTCCTGCCTATAGGGTGGGCGGTTATTTGAGGTTAGACCCTTAATCGAATAAATACAGTGACGGTAACTACGCGCTCACCTTGTCCCATAGAGGTTTTGATTATAAACTGCTGATTCAATAAAATCACCAGCATCAATGCTTTTTTGCATTGTTTCACGGTTAGTAAAGTGATACTCTGAAACAAAGACACATGCAACGATAATAAAAAGTAAAATGGGACACTGCTTTACCACAGAAAGGTTGAAGTACTGGAATATAAGTATACAAAATTTTGAATAAGGGTACTTCACAATAAAAAAGCTGGGGAACTTTGACAGATATGTCTTTTATTGGCATTTATTTTTAACAGCTATGTGACACTTGGAAATAAATTTCTGTGGATGGACCCTTAATATGTAACAACTAAGCAGCAAAATTATAAAACATGCCTTTACATTCAAGGCAGGTCAGCAAGCTGTTTTATTGAGAAACTGCAAAAAATACATTGTGAGGATGTGACATTTTTTTAACAACCATCATTGATTCAAATGAATGAATTCATACAAACTGACCGTAAAAGGGTTGGTGAAATTGTAACATCAGAAGAAACTATTACAGAATTTCCAGGTTTCTGGGGTACTTGTTTTTATAGCAGTATTTCCTTGTGTATATGATGGTCACAAAGAGGAAAAAGGGAATCAGAGTTTCTAGGACAAAGCTGGCTTTTTTGCTCAATCCAGTGATCCTACTGGTAATCAAATCTACAAGTCATTATTGAGCAAAGAACACAATGTCAAGTGGCAAAAATGCTATAATAAATTGTTAATAGTCAGCTATTCTTTGATTGTGCCTCCAGTTAAGTAAAACTTACTACATGTACATTAGGGCAGATATCTGCCTTGTAACAAAGGTATCCATCTTGAAGGGAGGTCTCTAATTTCACAACCTTTTTTTATGCAGTGTTAGTTAATGTGTATGGTAGAAATGAATAACTAACCAATAGGTGCGGTTACACAGGACACTTTTAATGTCACTAAACCATGGTAAATAACCCTTTCACTCATTTTTTGGGCTGGTGCACACATAATTATGTGACTGGATTTTCCTGAGATAAATTTACCATGTGAAATGTCATGATTGTGTCAAAAACAAGAAAGAAAGTGCTGATGACATTTAACGTGGTAAATAGCGAGGGTTTTTGATACCCAAGGCAACCAACCAATTCTGCTTTCTTCATTAGACACAAAGTGAAACCGCCAAAAAAATTGCTTTATTTAACAGGTTTTATTTGAGGTGTTGAGAGAAAGATGGACGTTGACATGGCAGATTTCATGTTAAGATGAAAGTCACAGGGAAATTTTCAACACAACATGAAATGCTACCTTGGTTTACGGTGATTTTTAGCACAGAAGTGTGAATGAGTCCATAAGTGGCTAATTACCTTGGGATTTAATTCACGAATAACCACGTTACAAGTCACTGAAAGTAAACCCATATTAAATTTACCATTGCCTTGTTACCGTGGGAAATGCCTTTTACCATGACGAGCATAACCACACCTATTATTAATAAAATACCCACTTATTAACAATGATATTATGGATTACCTTTCCCATCAGTTTCACCTGGTCGTGGACTTCGTGTAGTATCTAAAAGAATGAAGCATTTCACTCAAATTACTTGGATTGCAACAATATTTCAAGAGCACATTATGAAATTAATAACTAATAGTCAGGTCTCTTAGGGTGATATTATGGATTTACCTTTCCCTATTCATGTTTAAACAACAATTTCCTGGTTCCCATCCATTTTTGCTTATTGATTGTATAAGTTTGCCCATAAAGCAAGTCCATCTACCCATAAGAGCAAATTAAATTTACCATTGCCTTGTTATCCAGTTATCTGGGAAATGCCTTTTTACCATTTGTCTAAGCGAGCATAACCACACTTATTATTAATAAAATACCCACTTATTAACAATGATATTATGGATTACCTTTCCCATCAGTTTCACCTGGTCGTGGACTTCGTGTAGTATCTAAAAGAATGAAGCATTTCACTCAAATCACTTGGATTGCAACAATATTTCAAGAGCACATTATGAAATTAATAACTAATAAAGGCCGATTACGAAAAACTGAATTCCTCAATTGAGTAATGGATTGAAGAAATTCTCGGGGTTGGATAAGTGCAAGAAAAGGGGCTGATAATTGTTGGACCATCAGAGCAACAGAGTGGAGCCCAAGAGCTACATGTAGATTGGACCAGTGAACAGGGTCGTCCAAAAACAAGATGGAGAGATCCTCTAACTAGACAGATTGGACTCTTATGGTCAAGATTAGCCAAGCACAGACACCTGTGGGATCAATCCAGGGAGGGGTTCCTTTTTCAAGAGTGAATACAAACCCTGATAATGATGTTGATGATGAAAGGGGCTGACTAAGGACCTAAAGAAAAAACATAGGGCTCAAATATAATAAAACAAAATAATGCCACTTTTTGTGATGTGTTATTCTTTTTTCTACTGCAACCTGAACAGGAAGTCACTCTATCAATTTTCAATAAACAGGATAGTAAATTTGCTCACGTTGGGTAGCTAGGTTTGGTGAAATGAATGTAATAAAAATTGAAAATAATTATATATAACATAAATATTCTAATTACGTGACACAGAGAAACCAAACTTGTCAGGATAGTCCTTCATCAGGCGATTCTTCAGTGTACTCTTACCACAGCCACTTGGACCAAACAGAACAATTGGTCTGACTTTTATGCCTTGGTTAACAACAAAATAAAGCAACAAATAATTTCAGTAAAAATTGTAGCATTACAGTGTTATCTCAGCCACACTGTTATTTTTCACTTCTCTATGGTACAATGTAAAAATAATATATTTTTCATTACAGCACATGGTACGGTAGAGGGGTCCTATGGTGATTTTAGTCTTTTTTTCCAGTGCAGTTTTTTGGAAGCCAACCCCCCATTTTTTTGGTCTGTTTGTTCCCTGGCCCCCCTCGTTCCATATCACACAACCATAGGCAAAATACATACCCCCCCTCCTAAACCACCACCCCAACCTAAAAAACCCTGATGACTAACAGAAGTCATGATTTAACCACAATAATTTTGTTTAATAAGCAAAAATATTAATTACTGTTATTGACTGAGATAAAAAAACTCAAATTAATCAAACTTATAAGCCCCTTCTCGCTTCAGCACCAACAGGATTATAAACTTTAGAACACGGACAAACTCCTCAGTGAAGGCTTCCGCAAGTATTTCATTAATAATATTTCAAATAAAAAAGTTAAACAAAAATAATAAGCACGTGGGAATGGTAAGAAAAGCAAAAGTAGAGATCCTCTTTCCCTTTTTTCCTCCTATCACCCGCTGCATGATCCCTCTTCCCCTCTTCCCAGCCTTCTAGTGAGAAAAGGAGATCTCTGCAGAGGAGACAGGAACACAGTGGTCATTTTTACTGAGACTTTATTGACACCCCCCAATTATAACTTCAGTCATATTGGCAACAAGGTTAGCCTGTGAATACAGCTGTTTCTGCTTGCTCCTTGCTACTATGGACGTTTCACCAAGAGGAACATCTGTGCCTCAGCGATAGAAATTCCATACTGATGTTGTAAAGCAATGTTTACATGATGAATCTGGTAGTCATGGGTTCCAAATGTAAATTTGTTCGATTTTATGTTTCTCCTGGTCGATTATGGTAAAGTTTTGAGTTCTACTGCGAACGAGCTCCAGCAAAAATCAGTTGCTTTTTCTAAAGAAGATTATATTCCAGGACTATTGACTGTTTTGTAGTAGATTCATCACTAGCCTGCGTAGCAAGCGTTTCCTCGCGAGGTTCGTCTAGAAAACTGGGACAAGAGCAACAAAAAAATGAATGACGGGGGAGGGGGAGGGGAATGAAGGAACCGCTTGCCCGCAAACCCCACGATTTTGAAAAACTGCGTTCACCCACGAACGCAGCTTCTGATTGGCGCGGTGCGGGTGGTGTTGATTACTTATCATTGGAAACATCAATCAAACCAGGTATGCTTCGTTTTCGTGCGTCACAGATCTGGTCTCATCTGATTTTTGGTCGCAGATTACAAATGCTTTGGACTGATATTTATTTGAATCGTGTTTGTGCGAAGGTTTTATGAGATCAGTGTCTTCAAAGTATAATTGGATATCGAGCAGTGGAGACTTGGGAAGGTCAATTTATTGAGAATGACGGCGTGCGGATCTGACTGGAAAAAATGTTGGAGATAACATCAACAGAAATCAGAACATCGGTACTTGACACTAGCTGAAGCTGCCATGGACAAGCGATTTGTCAGCTTTTTGAAATGAAAAGATTCTTTTTGTTTATTGGAAATTTAGCGGCATCTATTGTAGAGAATGTTTCGACACAGGCTGAAGAGCAGCCGCTCTGCGAAACTTATACCCGGCGGAGTGAATTGTTCCGGACAAATCATTTTTGACGTGTCGACAAGGTCTCAGACGAGATAAAGCCACACGATAAAAAACAAGAAATTCTGCAGCAATCACTCATAGTTGTAACTTTCTTTTATCGTAAATCTTTTTTATTACACTTCTTGCAATCGCCTGCAACGTGTTCTATTAGAGAACAAAGTAATTTTACAAATCTGGTAATCCAGGGGTAATCCTATTTTGACGAGCTGTCAATTTACAAATGAACCGAACCGTGAAATATCAAGGGGCATTTTCCAGAATCGTGGGGCTTGCGGGCAAGCGTTTCCTCTTCTCCCCTCCCCCTCCCCCTTCAACTTTTTTTTTTTGCTTCCGCTCTAACTTTCGCGTAATAACTCGATTGGAAACGCTTGCTATGCAGGCTAATTCATCACATTTACAACCTGGTTTACACTCGATCTTTGTGGCTTTTTGTCTGTCATGCATAATTAATAGGTAAAACAATATAACCACTATGTCGACCAATCAGAGCTCTTGACCAAATTCTGGACAGATTTTACAACTGTACGTATGGAAATTCTGTCGCTGAGGTGCAGATGTTCCTCCTGGCGAAACGTCCCTAGCAGTGAGGAACAGCGAGAAACAGCTGTATTCACAGGCTATAATAGCCCTCCCCCGCTTAAAAACTAACCGGAAAAACTCATGCCCCACCTCAAGAACAAAAGTTGCCATATCCCGCCTCTACATAAACTATGAACCCTCCCAAGTGTCCTTTTTCCCACCTCCCAGGGAGGGAAGGGAAAAGGGAAGTTATCGCCTAAACGCAAGTTATGTATTTTGCAACCAACAAGACTTCTAAAGGAACCTGGGGTCTGTTTCTCGAAAGTCCCAGTAACTTTTTGGGCCCGAAATCAAATATTCAAATCAAAATATAAACAATAAGAGTGCCGGTCCTGGCTAACAAACTACTCCATTTTGTTCCATTAACGGATAGTTTTATCATCTTAGATGCAAAACTACTGAAACCTCAATCTTTAATGTGAAAGGAGACAGCTTACCGAGCCGTTCTATCATCGGGACTTTCAAGAAACGGGCCCCTGGGCCCCTGTGCTCTGTGGAAATTATTTTGTTGCCTAAAACTTGTTGTGAACAGTTGTTCGGGCCAGATCATTTGGTTTGAAAAAAAATATTTCCCACAAAAGTCATTTCAAGAACTCTGACTCGAGCACAAATGTATCGTTTTTTTGAACAGAAAACAAGTCATTGTTATGGCAACACTGTCGTGAAAGCAGTCGGTTTTTTTTTTTGACAATTGTAGCCAAGCTGGGTTGGGAGCCACATTTTGCTTCAGGGCAGTGTAAGATGCAGACTGTGGACTATTGTTTTTAGTGTTAGAAAACGATGGGACTTTTGATGCCACGTACTCATTTGCATGGCGTAAACAATAGTCTGTAGTCTGCGTTTTACACTGACCAATTTTGTTTCCTAGCAGCAGAAGAACACTGAGTTGGCTGGATTTTTGGCTCCCGAATGCAGAGAAATCTTTCCCAATATAATAGTAAAAGAGGAAAAAGTATTTTCCCACCAGTGTCTTCTGGTTTAGCCATAAAGCTGGGTGGTATTACACGTACTATATCGTTTCTTGCAGTGTACTGATCTGTCATCTCTGACTAGGTCAAGGCACGCTGATGGTTCAAACTAGCAATATTGTACCGTGCAAAAATTACCTGACATGACCAATATCTTTGGAAGTGAAAAACTACAGAAATCTGCCAGCCACTTTGCCAAAACCGCCACCTCTGCAACCGACCTTTCCTCCTTGGTCAAGCCGAAAACGCTTTCTTACTCACTGAAAGTGACTTTTTCCGGGTACTTTTTTCACTTTTTTCAACTGACCAGTCCAGCGGTGTTACTCTACTACGGCTTCATGTAAAACCCAATCCAACGTTCTCGACATGTCGACCGGTTCTCACCCTCGCTTTCCAGGTTTCCTCACGACCTTGGTCCAGGGTTTCTCTAGCAAACTATTTTACCGAAATTTATCACAAAAAGTGAAAGGGAAAAGGCCCAAATTGACAAATATCAAACAAAAGGACAGTGTTGATATCGAGGGCATCTTAAAAAGGCCTGGAGCAGTTGTCGTTAGCGCCGAATCTCTTGTTGTGGATTCCAGTGAGACTACGAAGGGAATAGAGATTAAAAAGTGGCAAGCCTCACGACAGAGGACAAACTTACTAAAGCAAGGAGAGCGAAGGTGTACCTTTCAAGTTTTTTATAGTCAGTTTAGAAGAAATTAAGGAACATTTTACTCAAATAACTCACAATTCTTAATCTTAAACCTCCTTTATCTTCTCTCCCAGGCTTCTTTCTCACTCCTCTTAGAAGCCTGGGAAAGGGGTAAAATTGCTGATGACTACACCTTTATTAGGGTATTTTTTGTGTCATTCTATTTATACAGTCTGATTCTGCAATCCGCGGTCTGCAGATGTCATGTACGGCCCTGCTCATAATTTCTAGTGGGTGGGATGAAAATAAGGTCTTCAATTGACCACTCCAGAAAATACCATAACATACCCTAATTAATGCTCTTTGTTTGTCCCCAAAAATCTTGCAAAGGCATTGTTTTCAGTTTGTTTTGGGGCCATTTTAACTCCTAGGAGAAACTGAAAAGAATGCTTATGCAAAATTTTTGGGTGACAAACAAAGAGCATTATGGTATATGTTATGGTATTTTCTGGAACGGTCAATAATACACGGCCTATGCCTTAGGACAAAAGACCTTCTTTGATGAACACTAACATTGACAGCAATTTTTAAATTTCCTGCTTTATGCCAAGGTCTATGTGCAATTTTGGTGGTGAGATACTTCCCTGGTCCTGAGGCTGGATAAATAACTATCCAGGAGATGATTATTAGGGACACAAATTGTGTTATCCACTGGTTAGCATTATCCACCCTTTGAACAACTGGTGGCTGGTGTCATATAATTTTCCAGGGCCTGCAGAGCAGCCAGTGACCACCTCTTTTGGCTGTTTTCTCTTTGTGGCTGTTTAGAACTGTCATATTACTGAACTTTTCTTGAATTGTTGAGCAGAGTCATGTTTATAAATTTCAAGCTGCTGAAAAGTACCTTTCTCCAGCTGAGCCTGATTGCACATGTTTGCAGATCATGATATTACAATGATGTAGGTTTCTGTAATCCCTTCATTTTGTCTAGTATGTGATCGAAATGCGTCAGAGACCACATCATCAGCCAATATCATTCATTTTAAGAAACCATAGTTTGTGGAGTAGTCTTCAGATTTAATCGAGAACTTTCATCAAAAAAGACTATAGTATATTTTCGCATCGTTGCAAATGCGAGATAGCCTTTCTGGTTTGAAAATGCAGATGGGCGTTTTGAGACTTACTACGCATTAGATACTATTTATATGAAAATGTTTATTACAGTGGAACCTCTATAATGAAGTCCTCAGTGTAATGAACTATTTTTTTGACTTCAGTAGTGGTAAAATAAAAGGCAATATGAAAAAGGACCTCGATATGAGTTAACAAACCTCGTTATAAGAAACATATTTTGCCAGTCCCTTAGCCCTTCGTTATATTGAGGTTCCACTGTGCTTAATTTTATTTATTTATTTTTCAAAAAGTGGGGGGCCCAGCCCCTCCCCCTGCACAGGCCCTGATTTCATAGTCCTAGAATCTGGGGCGAATTTAATAGCCAATTTAATAAAACTTTTACAAGTGTAATTTACAAGCATAGCTATCGTTTTCGGACACTAAAGCAATAACTACACTTGTAGATTACACTTGAAAAGGTTTTATTAAATTGACCCCTGGGGTTTTTCAGGTTGTTTACCTTTGAAGCCTAGTCACTGCCACCCACAAGCTCCTCCTAGACACGACTGAAAGAGGAAGGGACCTTTGTAGCAGCTTTGACATTCATAAAGTGGTGGCCATTTTGTCAACAGATAAACCATTATCTACGGACACCTATTTAGTCAGTCAGTCTAACATTTTGCATGTTTTATAAAAGCTAGTTTGACTGATTTCAAGTGGCTGCTACAGGTCTCTTTCTATTACCTGTATCTAGGAGGATTAGAAAGGCTGTCCTCACAGGCTACATGTAGGTCAACCTCTGATCATCAGACATCTGATAATCATGATAAAAGTTTGGGGTTTCACACTGAGTCTGAACTGTGAAGTATTTTCCTCTTGTCTAAGAGCATGGCTTGTATTACTACTCAGCAGTTCAGAACTACATTCACCAGACTGGCTACTTGCCATTCCTGCTGCAAAACAGGACAGTAGTAATGCTGTTTGGTTCTCAGGCTGGAAAAACATAACTTGACCATGTAGCTGTAACAGTCAAAGGATACCTCCCTAGGAGATTATAGTATTTATGCAAGAGAAAACATGGGGGAAGTGGGGATGACAGTAGCCTGCGAACAGCAGACGCATTTCCGGTCGTCACTTCTCTCCCTCCAAAAAATATTTTCAGACGCAGAGAATCGATGACTGGAAATGTGTCTGCTGTTCGCAGGCTAGGATGACAGTTGTCATTCAATATTACAGTTGTATTGATTGTATTCTATTTTTTTGAACCATTGGGGCCCGGGACCTCAATTTATACCGTAAATCCTCTATTAAGCCCCCCGGGGGGCTTATTTTTTCCACGCACTTTTGATGGGGAGGCTTAAAAGAGAGGGGGGGCTTATTTAAGGAGCAAGGTTTCTCGAGGATGGACTTGTGGTTCCCAGGCGGTATACTGCTTTGTCTAACGATAAGAAAATAGTGACAATTCTCCACAGAGAACTAGAGCGCAAAGTTGAGAAAGTTAAGCATATTGGAGGTCATCCGGCCGAAGACCAAAAACAACATGAACTTCCAGTCTGAATAAACCATAACTGATCAGTCCACGTTAATCGTTAATTTTTTTGTGAAGAATAAGGATTGCGGGAGGGGGAGTTGGGGGGGGACTTAAAAGAGAGGGGGGGCTTATTAACGTTCCTCCTCTGAAAAGGGGGGCTTATTAGAGAGGGGGGCTTAATAGAGGATTTACGGTAGATGCACAATCACCTGGTGTAAGGTCTAGAACCAAGGATCACTTTAATAAATTATATGGTTTTCTTTTTCATTTGATCCCACGCACAAACCTTCGAGACTGACTTACATGAAAGTCAATTGTATTTCTTTTGTGCCCAGTAAATTTGCAAACAGAGAATACAGACATGTGCACAGACTCATGCAAACACCTAAATTGTACAAGTTTTTGCCAGTTTGTGTGGTAAAAGCTAGGAGCCTAGTTACACAGAACTGTACAAGTACAGGGGGCATAGATTGAATTAGTTTAAAGAGCATAACAAAATACGATTTAGATTTAAACTAAGATTTTATTTCAAGTAGTTTAAAGCAAGTAAAATGTTATATGACCGGAAAAGAGGGCACAATAAGACGTCATGATCCACATTTGGAAAATCTTTCATCCTGTTCTAGGTATCCTTCATCAAGAATTTTGTTTTATTGCCTGTCAGTCGTACATTCTGAATACAAAAACCCCTTGAAATGGTAACCTTTGTGCCTGAAAAATTATCCTACATTGCTCATTCATTGTTGGGCATTTGTTTGATCAATCCTTTACAGTAGGATCAACTGGAGAGAAGTGGTTATGAATAAGTATTACTGGTAACTCATGAAAGTCAGAAAACCTGCTGAAGCATGCTGAAAACTTAATGTGAGCTAACCAAATAAATGGCAGGAAGTGTAAAAAATGTCATCTGTTTTTGCAGGGTGGCTGTAATTGCTGTTGTTACAATGCTGATTGGATTTGCTGCAATTAAACTTATGTTTTATGGTAAGGTTACACCAAATCTAATATTGTTAGGTCCAAAAATAATCCTATCACAGCAGAACCCTGTTCATGTGACCACAGTTGTGCCACAAATTCTTGCTGTAATGACAAGGTGGTCAAACAGCGTGTTCATATTGTGGGGTTTCATGGTAATTGTAATTTTGGGGGATGGGGCTAAATAAGGTGTCCATAACAAAAGATTTGTCTGTAATATAATAGAAGACTTTTAGTGATTTTGTGATAAGAATCAGTACATGTTCAACTTTTTTTATGCATCATCAGCATTGCAGGGGGTTTTTGTTTTGATCTCAAAAAAATGAAGGAATTATTACTGAGCCCTGTAAAGAAAACTGTTGTAATCACTTCAATGGGCTTTCTTGGAGGAATGACAAAAACTTGAAACCTTTTATTTTTGAGTAATTTCTAGTGTTCTCGTTTCTTGTATATTATTATTATCAGGTGCTGAAAAAAGAAAGAAGGCCAGTGACACAGCTACACAACCCACATAAAAATCAGTGAATCTCACAATTATTGGGAATTTATGGACTTGCTTCCACCTTGTGCCAAACTCACAGCAAAGTCAAATGGGATAACAAGAAAAAAAAAACAGCTCCACGTGAAAGTAACTGCCCAAAAGCTCCCCTTTAAATAGTCATATAACAATAATGCAGATGAGAGTGACTAAAGACAATGCCACACCAAATGGACATTTCCTGTAATTAGGAATATGGAATTTATTAATACTAAGGAATGGCTCTCCAGCAAGCCAGAAACCATGAAAAGAAACTAAAGTGAAAAAGATCGGTGCCACATACGCCATAATGTTTAAGACAATATTATTGTAGTAAAAGCAAAACGTACTGTACCAGAGGTGTTGTTTTATTCCTGAAAGAGTCCGAGTATTTTTAAAACACTTGCATGCATTGGGCACAATAAAGGGGTTTTCTTGGTGTAAGCTTCACTGACACCCATTGGTAGGCAGAAGCCATTGTCTTAACTTAGTCTCTAACAGTTTGGCTAGTTGGGGCGTAACAAAAAGGAAGAGGTCTTGCACAGTGTCTTGTGTGTTGACATAATGAAAATGCTCTTAATTGAAAAATGAACACCAACATTTCAGCAATGCTGCCTTTGTCAGATAAATTATGTATGTTAAATTGATGCATGATTGAAGGGCGGAAGGAAGCCCCAGATGTACAGGTGCTGGGAGCTTAAGCAACGATGACGGCAACGACAGCGAAAACGTTACACACAAAGTGAATTCGCGCTGTTTTAAACTTCATCGCTGTTATTCTAACTCTTTTAATTTGTCAAAATGTTGGCGATATTTTTAGAAAGCGACTGTTTCTATAAGTTCACAAAAAGAAAACGAAAATCGTTGTCTTGCGTTCACGTCCTCTATAAAACGTGAAATTAGGCATTTTCACGTCGTGGTAAGTCGTGTAGTGACATCACAGAAATGAGCAAAAAAGCGTGATCATCGTGTAAAGACGTTGTTTTGCTAATCTAAACCTATTGCTTTTTGCCGTTCTCGTAGCCGTCGCCATCGCCATCGCCGTCGGTAGTTTCTTAAGCTCTCTATTTAAAGTGAGACGGGGAGGCTGTATTTGCAAGCTACTGAACGTTTCGTTGAATTGAATAACCTGAAAATAAAGGTAAATTAGCCTTTGCGATTCTCTGCACGCAAGTAGGCAGATGCACAAGTGTATACAATAACCACTGTTATGGTCCACATAGATCAATTTGACCCAAGTTAGTGACCCATCTAAACCAAATTACGCAAGTGACTTCACTAGTCCTCAAGGCACCCAACAGTGGTACCTGACCCACAAAACCCAACTACACCAAATATACCACCCAACGAGGCCGAATGGGTCATGGGTACCCTACTGGGCCGATCAAAAGGGTCCCAACTAAGCCAGATAACACGTGGCTGCAACGGGCTTGGCAGCATAAGTGTCATAACTACGCCAAATGGCCCAAGGAAAGGGTCTAAACATTTAGTGACCACAAACCACTTCAAAGAATCAGAACTTGAAGTAATGGCTAATCAGAGCCGGCTGGTAAATGACCTAAGCAAGCCAGCTTTTCCAATCAGCTGTATTACTACCAATTGCTCAAGGAGGGCTGTGTCTCTACTGCAATCAAAATTATTTTTATTTAAACAGTTGTCATTTCAGTCTCTATATTTACAACTGACATCTGAAAAATAAATCTCGTTTACACTCAGTGAGTAGGATATAGCTCTAATAAATACAATCATTGAGAACACAGACAACTTTATACATTTCTAGAACGTTGTGAAAAACGTAAAACACCACTTACGTATTTACAAGCTAAAAACACAGGAAGTCGCGATCGATGAGAAGAGTTCGTTCACTTTGTTTCCTCACCTTCAGTTTGTTGTTCTTCCTTCTCTGCCTGGCCACTATTTTCATCTTTGGCAACATCGTCCGTTTTCTGACTATCATCAGGCTTCACTTCATCAGCAACTGTCTCCTTGGATTCCTCTGCTGCCTGAGCCTCGACCGGCTTGCTTTCATCATTCGCATTTTCATTACCTTCTTCAGAGCTTTGATTATTCTCTGGTTTAACCTCATCATTTACACTACCTTTCACGTCTTCAGAAGGAGAACCCTCATCAGGTTTGACTTCTTCACTAACATTCTCTGTTGTCTGAACATCGTCTGGTTTGCTTTCAGCACCAGCGTTCTCGCTAACTTGTTCCGACCCTTGACTATCATCTGGCTTGCTTTCATCATTTGCAACCTCTTTAACTTCTTCAGTCGCCTGAGCTTCCTCTTGTTGGCCTTCAATGGTTTCTGTCTCTGGTGCTTGCTGACTCACAGCAGCAGACTCCTCATCTTTCGGTTCACCCTGTTCGACAGTAACATTTTCTGCTGTCACATCAAGCTGATCATGTTTCTCTTGTTGGTGGCCAGTGGCTTGCGACTTATCTGAAATATTAAAGCGTAAAATGATCAAACAAGCCGAAAAAAGTCCGTTTTCAATTTTAAAGAGGACCAGAACACTGAAGAAAGAAAAAGTGCTAGCTGCACTAAAAGAAGATAACTTGTTGCCTTGAAGATCATTTTAAAACAACAACGTTTTAGAGCCCTAGGTAAAGAATAGTCAACGCTTTCTTTTGCTCTTTTAGTGAGAAAAAATAAAGAACGACACTGTACTTAAAAATCAACATCCAAAAGAGGTGGTCAATCTGTTAGTTCTGGATAAACTCTGTTAAACCAACTCGCTACCGAAAAGTAAATACGCTTAGCACTATGAAGGGTGTTATTTTTACTTAGTCTGTTACTGTGGTTCTGGTTTTCATGAACAACTTCCATCTAACGCTGACGCTTGATTCAATGCAAATTTACTTAGACGGTGTTTAAGGTTTTCATTAAAGTACACTAAGTGCCGTGCAACATCATAAATGGTAACAAAATATTTCTCAAACTTACCGAGTTTCTTAACGAGTAACCTTGATCTATCTGTTGCATTCACATGCTGGTCATAACGTTATGTTCAGAGGAAATTTAGCAGGTTATGGTTAGTTTGAACATGTAACGTGGAAGTGATTATGTCAATTTAGTTACTCCTTGTTGAAGTTTCTTAATAAATGAATACTTTTATCTTTTCAGTGAATGATGGTCTTAGTAATATCCAAAGTAAGTCCGTCACTCAGTTTAATCATTTAGAGAGCTCTTTACCTGTACGATAGGATGAAGGCAATAAAATATCAAAAGACAAACATGTTTATGTATATTTTATTTCTGAGTCATCTCTTTCACTCTGATTTCCTGGACCAAATGATTAGTAGTAATTATTGTAATTATGTTAGATTGTCAAGAATGTCGTATCAATTTATTACAATGGGATCTATTAAATAGATACAACTTGACACGAAATCAAAATCAAATGACACGATGCTTCGCAATGATAGGAAGAGCCGACCTGATAGCTTTACCAACTGTTATCATAGTTGTCCTTTACCCACACTTTCTTTTGTTATTACATGATTTTCTTCCTTCTCACAAAATCTGGGGATTTGTTATTCAACTTGTTAGAGACAAGTTTGTTAAATAATGCTACAAATTACAAAACAGTCATTTTCAAGAAACTAGTTAAGATTGTAAGTTACAAGACAAAACTGTAGTTTAAAATCAGCGTCTCGATTTTGAAAGTAATAGAAGCATTTACGTTAACTGACTGCATCTTCCTTTTTTACGATATGAACCACTCCTTGGGGTGTGAGAATGACTATTAACATTAGCTCTTAAGGTAAAAAAAGCAAGCATATGTTTAACTCAGTTTGTACGATGTTGAAGCTTAAATGATGGATCATTTCATGTTTTTCATTTATGTTTACATTAACCTAATTACGGTCAGTGACAAACCTACTACAAATTACCGAATTTCACACTTCGCAAGCCATTAAAACAGTAGAGATTGTGAGCAGACTTATAAAGGGGGGTGAAAAATGCATTTTTGCTACTCCTACCAAACAAAGACGAACTGCTAGATTTTGTGGTTTATTTCATCCTTGGTATATTCTTCTGTTTTAAACTCACAAAGGAGAATGAAATATGAACCACAACACATAACTGGCCGCGCTGAAATCTAAAAATTCTTTAATGAAAGGTTACCAAAGAGAAGTAATTGTTTTCAGATACAAGACTGCCTCCTCTGAGTTTCTGGAGATGTCAGCGATTGGTAGCTTAAGAAAATATTTAGCAAGTAGTAAGCAACAAAAAAATTCATTTGCATTAACAACATTGGAAGTCACCATGGGTACTAGTAATATAACACAGTATAATGCAAATGTTTTGAATATTGAAACTTTATCAGAAACTGAAATAGACCTCGTTCTAGACCTTACACAATAGGAGTGATTTCCCCTCTCCACTGGTTTCTATGTATTACCTGCAGGTACTTTCCCATAGAGTTCTAATCTTAACGCAATCTGTTCATTCCATGTTTTGGGTTTCAGTCTACAGTAACGGGCCATGACAGGTTGAGTCAGCCAGTGACTAAGGACTGTGTCTCCATCAGAGTTCCCTTCAAATACCTTTAAGATAAGAACATGTAAGACGGTTAGTCTCGTACTCCCTCGCAACCGTAGCGTTGTTGTTTAGGGAAGACGACTGCCTTCTTACGTTGTATTCATTTGCGAAAAATAGAAAACGTTCTTAGATGTACTGGCCATAAGGCTTTTTTAGGTTCTTTTGCCGCTGTTTTTGTGAGTAGTAAATTGTTGTCGACGTAAAGTTGTTGTGTAATTTGTCTAGTTGTTATTGTAAAAGAAACTTTTCCTCCTTGGATTTCTCGGTTTCAACGAAGGTGCATGATTTTCCGCCATTACTTTATAATTAACTTCTTCTTAAAGGGATAAACAAGAGGACACAAGAGGAAACTTTATACGTGGATGTTCTCCGAAACTGAGCAATTTTTGGTTCCCTATTCCACCTGAATGTCAGTCTTTGCGCCAGAATTTTCTACGACTCCGGCTCCGGTAATGGGCGAAACATTTTCACCGCTTTTGCTGTTAGCTTGAGTGGCTAGAAGCTTAATTCAAAAAATTCTAGAAACCTGTTCATCATTGTCTTCGAATATTGGAGACTTCGTTGAAAGTAAGAGACGAAAATCCGAGTTTAATAAACACAACTGAACACGTCATCTTATTATGTATAGCCGTGCGTACATTGAGATTTTTTCGACAGCGACCAAATAGGACTTAGATATAGGACAAGAGCGCGCGCTATGTTATAATGCACCTTAATGGAAATTGAGTCTCCCTCAATAGGTGCGGTTTAGACAAGTCTTTGAATAGAGCCTACCCAAACGCACTATTGGAAGATAACAGGTTAACCATTAAAATGACTGCAAAAGAAAAAAGAAACGAAACGAAACAATATTGACCTTTGTTTCCTCATTTTCCTTGTATTCGTGAAGGTTCTCCTGATCTTCCCCAAATAACAAGACATAGCTTGTTACACGATGTTCTACACCTTCGCCGCCACCTTGAGTGGCAATTTTCGTTATCTCGCAAACCTTCCCAAGATCAACTTGGAGCCACTGGTTATCATCACTTTCTGATGGAGCCCAGGCTCCCATCAGTTCTCCTTCAGGCTTGGAGTTCAGACGAGCCCTTGAAGCATTGTGTTTGTCCTCAAGTTCAGATGATGCCTTGATAGCATCAGACGGGACGCTTCCATTCTCCATTCCCAGTGGTTCACTGTATGACTCTAAGTACAAACAAACAAACAATTAAGTGTTACGATCTAAAACCATGCAATGTAAGTCGGTACCCATTAATGGAGTTAGCCACTGTACCTTCACAAGAATATAATACCAGTCCTTTGCAGCTGTACACCATTTGAGCTCTTTTTCATTTCCAAGGAAATATGACGTTTTTGGTAAAAAAAAATAACAACTGCTACTTTCATTCCATGGGGAAAGTTTAGGACAGTATTATTATTCATTTAGGTAGGGCGCGACAATGGAATTTCTTTTTTTCCAGATTATAGTCCTGAACGTTGCTGAATTTTATCCATCTTGGAAATGTCATACTACAAGCTGTTCATACCTGCATCGAATCCATAAAACTCTGTTCTCATTGCAATGGCCTCATTCCAGGTCCTGGGATGTAGTCTTACAAACTGAGCAATAACAGGACTTTTAAGACTATTTGACACGACTGTATCCTGGTCACTGTTGCTCTCAAGAACCTAGGAACGCAAATTTGTAATGTTAAGCTGCTTCATTTTGAACATGCGGAGTGTAGAAACTATTTGTTTCTCAGACAAAAATAGACAATATTTTATTTGGTCTTATACCAGCTGGTAAATCAACCGTTTTCCAAATAATTTAACATGCGTTATCGTCGTTCTTACGCTCTTAATGGTATTCAAAATGTAGTCACAAGAGAGGGACCTGAGGACCCAACCAACAGCAGATCACCACACTAAAGCAATCTCAGGATCTGAACAACACACGAGCAAGCTTTTAAGAGAGCTCATGAACATCGATGAATAACCTAAGCTCGAGAAAATTGTTGTGTTTCCCTAGATCCACTACTTCTTGAGCTTCCTGAGAAGCACTACAGGAAAATGTTTTTGCCGCTAACAGATGACTGAATTTCTCTTTTAGGTGACCTCTAAAGACGTCTTAGTTTCTGAACAAGACTCAAATGCTGATCAATACGATATAGTGCGAGTCACGTACCTTTTCACTTCCGTCCTCTCTGTAAGATACAAATCCCTCTTCAGTTAGGCTAAAGGAGACAGTGTACTGTTTTACATGACGAGAACTTTCACCAGCGTCTCCCTGAGTAGCTATTTTTGATATTCTTGTCACCTTTCCAAGATTCACCTGGAGCCACTGGGTGTCGTCACTTTCAAGTGGAACCCATGCCCCCATCAGTTCTCCTTCAGGCTTGGTGTTCAGACGAGCTCTTGAAGCGCTGTGATGTTCATCAAGTTCACTTGATGCTTTGATGGCTTCACTAGGGATGCTGCCATTTTCCATTCCAAGTGGTTCACAGAATTGTTCTACGTATCAAAATATTTCTATTTTAATGGTAAAACTAAATTAAGGTGGCCCGAACATACTTATTTGCGTGTTGGTTATGTTTTTGAATCGCGTTTTTCAGCATGTGACGATTTAACCGATTTCCATGCCAATTTTTGGTATCCTCAATAACAGAATGATCGAACTTCAAGGAAATAATATTTATTTTCTTGTGGGTATAAAAAAGTTTGAGATATCGGCATATATTTAAAACCGCATTTTTACGAAAATTTAAAAAACTTCGAAATCCTATATAACAGATTTTCCCTAACTTCAGCAAACAAGCCTAAGAGCTATCTAGCTTTATATCAGCAAGTCTGAAGTCAATTGTGACCATACAACTCGCCGCTCAAAATGCTGGTCAAATTTGTGCTGAAAATGCTACGCTAACACATTTGTGAAAATTGACGCACACATAGAGGAAGAGTGCCGACGGACTATCTCCCATCTGAAAGGGTATTCTTACCCAAAGCTTTGTTGCAAAAAACTGAATAATCAGAAACCTACGTCGAATAGAGTTAGCACTACAAGAAGAACAACTTTGTGCTGAATGCGAGGTGAGATTAAAGAACTTCTGTTTATCAAAATTACTGGGTATTTGCCCCTTTTTTCGAAAAAAAATCTCCAAAAAAGTTACAGAGGTTTAATCATTCCTTTTTTTTAATCATTCATGTTTAATCATTCCTACTGAAAAACGCGATTAAAAAAAAAACGTTACTACCACGCTTATAAATGGGTTCCGGTTACAAATCTTGGCAACAAACAAGCACTTATGCCCCATGGAAAATTTCGAATCTTTCAAGGTAGAAATGTAAAAAGATGGTCGTTTCATGGAGGTGGGGGGCACCATATACAAGTTTGGGAAAGATAGTTTTAGTACCTTTATCATCTTCTTGTGGCTTGCCCTCTTCTACAGGTTGAACATCGTCTTTAGGTACTTTTCAGAGAAAACAAAAGAACAAGGATCAAAATGATAGAAAAAGGAAATCAAGCTAAGAAAATTGCGAGTGAAAGCTTAAGGTTGAAGGGTTGGTGGTTAAGTAGTTAACACTGCACTTCAAATCTAAAGGCTGATGTTTTCTTGAACAAGAAACTTTCCATGACATTACATGTATAGAGATTTGGGGATAATATCTAAAGGAAACGCCTGACTGAAGTTGAAAATTTCCAACAATAGCAAATAAGCAAATTAAAACTGTCCAGATTAATTCTTGTGTATAACACTGGCGTGAACGGTACACAACATGCCGTAATGTGATTCTAAATCTCTCTGTTTTTCCTTTCTTGAACCTTTCTTGAAGGTACCGTATTTATTCGATTAAACGCCGCGGCGTTTATTAAATTTTTAGCGTTTCCGATGCGACGTTAATTGAAGGGCGGCGTTTGTTTCGAAATCACTTTTCTCAAATCACTGACAATGAGTTACTGTAAATCGTTTTCAAACATTATTTACCAGGGTATATTCTAGAAATTGGCCAATGAGGGTCGAATGGGCCCCCTTCTGTAAGTTTAGGGGGCCCTTTTTCAAGAGAGGGGGTCCAAGAAGGGGGTCCCCCAAAAGGTATTTGAACTTATTGGTACAGACTGTTCCATGAGAAAATGCACATTTATTGAAATTATCATTTACAGGCTTCCAAGTACTGAACATGAGGTTAAAATGACTCTAATGCTTTAACGTAAATGAAAAGCTTCTTTCAAAAAAATAGTACTTATCCTTGGGTCTTCTTTTTACGCCCTATTTGACACGGCAACGTAAATTTTATGCGGCATTTTTTTTCCAAATTGCGAAAATCCCACGCTCCAGAATAAATCCTGTGTACCTTCTTTAAAGGTTCCAATGTTTCCCTTATTTTGCTGAGACAAAATCGTAGTTGTCTGGATGGTGTAGATTACCAAGTTGTACCGAGTTTTTTTTATCAGTATCTTCGAATAGACGCCGCATTCTTTTAATTAGGTGCGGCGTTTATTCGATAGCGGCGTTTATTGGTAATTTTGCTTCGATCTGCCGCGCTTAATCGAGGGCGGCGTTTAATCGAATGAATACGATAAGTAGTAGCCAAATAATCGTGAAGGCGACCATCTTCTCCACAGTAATTATAAGGTTTAATTTTTGTTCAGCGACAGTAGATGATATGCGCCTTTAATAGGAGATGTAAAAGTGTGTTTGACCAGATGGACGCGTTTTCTTACAGGCGAGAATCAACCACAAGTGTAAATTGTCACTTGGATACAACTGTAGTCTTTGAGTTCGGGGGCAAAGGTAATCTCATGAAAGTTATTGTAGTACGTGGGTTAAAAAGCTTGGAGTTTAAAACGAAATTTGAATTTAGGAGTACATAAGACTTAGAGTTAAGAAACGACGCAACAGGCAGAACCCCTTAAAAAACAGAGAGGCAAAAAAAAAAAAATAACACAAGTTTCAAACCTCTGACTGTCCCATCTGGTAACACTTCAACTTCAGGTAAGAATTCCTTAATAACCTCCACAGCTTTCTCTACATTAGAGCTGCCATGTACGGCGTTCTTCATTGTGTCAACTCCAAACTTTGCCCGGAGGCTACGAGAAGTGAGAAAAATTGAACACAGCCCAATGATTCACACAATAACCAGTCAATACCCACACGGAACTCCAAGTGATACATCAAGCAATGCAAAAAGTAAAACAATTAAAATTAAAGAAAACCTTTATTGGAGGTAAATGGTTTCATTGCAAGCCAGCCAATAAAATAGATGAACACAACACTCATGGAAGCTGATTAACTTACGAGTCTGGTGCCACCTCCAAGGCTTGCAGTGGATCAGTAGGGCCCATAAGTGCCTTCCAGCCAGTGACTGCATCTTCTCTTGTAAGTACCATGAATAGAGTGGGACCACTATAATTTAACAAAGAAAATTAGGTACAAAATGAACTTGTCACTTGTTAAGCAGCAGGTGAGCAAGCAGTAGCACATAGAGCACTTAGCTTTGTTATCATTGTCACCATAGTCAGGTGGGCCTATGGCGATGACCACTTCTCAATCAAGTTAATGACCCATGGAAAAAAAAACAACAAACATAAGAAGGGTTTGCATCTCGGTGGAATGGATATGCAGTCCTTGTTTACCATATCATGGAAAACACAAGGGGGTTGTGTACTTTAAATTTTTCAAGAATCTTTTTAATGGTCTGATAGGGTATCAAGATGTCATACACCTAAACGAATTTATATCACTGAAATCTAAATGTTATTCACTTAATAGTTTCTTAGTTCTCCGAATTACTTCTCGATGTTTGAATAATCTGTATGACATGCTTTTATTCTATTTGTTAAATGGCATAATCTGTGATATGTTGTGGTTCAATATTATCACCGCAACATATATATTCACAGTCTCCCTTTTCACATCAAGGCAAGATGGACCAAACTCTTTCAGTATATATATGAAGTAATGTAGTTATAACATTTACCAGGATATAGCTCCTTGTAACTAAGGTAAGGTAAAGGTAAAGGCGCACACAAGCCAAAGGCCCAAACGGCCGGAGCTTTTACCGGTTTCCGTAGCATGAAGCAAGCCTAAGAGTATTGCTACTCCCCCTTGGACGGGATGCTAGTCCATCGCAGGGTTACCCCCAGCAGTATGTCGCCGGTACCCATTTATACACTTGGGTGAAGAGAGACAAAGTGGAGTAAAGTTCCTTGTCTAAGGAACAACGCGACGGGCGAGGCTTGAACCCCGGACCTCCTTATGACTAAACAGATCTTATTTTAGTTGTAAGTCTATGTAATACACACCTTGACATGTAATCTGTGAGGTGTTCATAGAAGTCTTTGCCCTGGTGTTCCTGGTAGAACTGTGAAGCTAATTCCTTGGTCAGAGTCACCTCTTTTTCAAATTGAATCTTGAAACCTGCTTCTTTAATTTTCTGTATCACTTCCTCTGTTTGCAAAATAAAAAAATGAATGCAACTTGTGTCATAACACTAATCACCGACCTCGTTGAAATGTACATCATAAATTTGATATAAATTTGGGCACTGTTAACTTACATTCATTGAAAAAATGTTAACATTAGGTGACAACAAAAACGAAACGGGGAAACTAAAGTCATTTTGTGTTCTTTCAAATAGACGCATATTTTAAGGGTTAAACGTTACGGTCTTAACTATACCTTTAAATTGTTCTACACGTATTGTTAGGGCAAACGAGGTGACGGGAAAAAAAAATAAGGAGCAATGGTAAACTATTAACTTTTCTCAATCTGTGTTTTTTCTACTGCATATATATTTTCAAAGGTTAACGTTAGCCGTTATGTTCTTAAACTTTGTTAACTACCTAAGTTTGTGATTAGGGCAAGCCATAAGTTTAACATTAGAGCCATTAGAGATCAGGTGTTATAAAAATGTACTTATCATAAAGTCACATAATTTTCCTAGATTTGATATACACCGGTAGTATTGACATTATAGGGACCTTAAGCAACGACGACGACGATGGCAGTGAAAACGTCACTCAAAAGATCAATTTGCGTTCTTTCAAACTTAATCGCGTCTATTTGGACCCGCTCAATAAGTCAAATGCAGGAGACTTCTCCTGGAGTTGATTTCTTAAGGATTTTATTCAAGTTAAAAAAGAGGAAGGAAAATTCGTCGTCGTGTGTCCACGTCCCCCATAAAACGTCAAATTAGGAGGTTTCACATCGTAGTCGTGCAGTGGACGTCAAAGAAATGTACTAAAAAGCGTGATGCACGTGCAGAGCGGTTGTTTTGATCATTAAACCTATTGTTTTTTTTTAAGTTGTCGTCGTCGTCGTAGTAGTTGTTTAAGCTTCCTATTCTTACTTCAAAGTTAATTGAATGAAACGATGAGGCTCCATCAGGTAACTTTTTTATCAGTTGCTATTATTGTTATGATAATACAAATCGATAAATGGCAATCCGTCTACAGTCACTTTGCTTATATGTGGGACAATAATCCCTTTTGACTCAAACACTGTGTGCACACCTCCCCTAACGTGCAGAATAATGTGAAAAAACACGATTTTACAAAAGTAGTCTGACTGGTAGTAATACAAACCTCTTATGTCGGGTTCAACTTCAGGCTTGATTACTGCTACAGTAGACTGAACAGGGAAGAACTGTTGAATTTCTTTCTCAGCTGCCTCAGGTGAATCTGAGCCATGTAATGGATTGATGGGACTGTCCTCTACTTGGAAATGATGCCGCAAACTAGATATAGCGTATAACAAAGAAAATTAACATTTCTTTGTTTACTGTTTATGAGGCACCTTTAGTGCAGTGTCACTTTGAAAAAGAATTCAGATTAATGCCAACCAACGCCAAAATAATTTCTTGATTCAAAGACCTGTTCTAAAACTTACCCTGTGGGGATAGGAACCTGTACAATTACTTGTTATCACAAAGTCCAATAATAAGAAGCAAAGATGTTATTGAAAGTTCTTTTATCCTATATTTTTTACTCGTGGAAGGTAAGACTTTTGCCCGAGTGTTTGAGGATGACCTAACAGATGTGTGGCATGAAAAAAATCTCTTAGACATAGGAAACTTTAAGTTTAAAAACCCTGCACGATTCTCCAACTTTTCGGACGGATTTAAGATATTGGGGTTCTTCCTGATGGATTCAAAGAGTCACTTCACTTTGCCTGTACTGTACTCTGTTCTTCCTTTATTGTGCCCAAAAATGTTCTTGATCAGACACATAAAAGTTACACTATCCACTTATGAAAGGGAACCCTCACCTAAAATGTAATCGCTATTCATATTTATTTTAATCCAAATTCAGACAGACATAAACCCAAAGATTATCAGTCACTTAGCTTCATTCATGCTATTTTTGATAAACTGCTCACTATATTTTGCGTAAATGAAACCTTTGATGATCGTGCCATCAATTCAAATGGTTGCTTCTTTATTTACCCGGTAGCCAAACCAAATTATAACATAATTTTCAATAAACTTTACTTCCAAGCTCATGAAAATCTTTACTTATTTGGTGATCTTTTTCATCATCCTATTGATTTTGCACATTTTTGGAATTTACCTAGATTTTAGCCGTTAAAAAAATTTTATGTACCTTTTTGTTGGAATGTTCTCTTCATCATTACTATGTAAACACAAGAATGGATTAGAACAACAATCACTTCCTTATATCTCGTGGAATTAGATAGAATGCCAATTGTGCAGCAAGTTTTTGAATATCAAAAAATCTCAAGGATTAATCACTGCAAGTTTAATTTATTTTATGTCCCAGAATAAAACACTTAAAGTTGAAAAAAAAAAGAAAAGAAAAGAAAGCATGCCATTTTCGAGCGTGAGATAGAGTGCAAAATTAAATATGTAAGTGCAGTTAAGAACAACATATAGCCTTTAGAATTTTTACAGGCAGATAAGCTGGTGAGATAATTGCCAGGTTACTAAATAAGTCGATGTCATATTACTCCAACTAAATGTACAAAAGTGTGTTCGGAGGGATATATGCGTTGCATTTTTACGATGGTAACTGGGTTAAGAACTTCAGGAGGTTGAAAGAAAACTGCTCTGCGAGCAAGGTTGAACAGAAACTACACAGCATCAAAGTCCAGCTACACGTCTCCTATATGTTGACTTCGAAAATGACAATGGCTTGGAGAACCTGAGGAGAAATTCACTACATGATTTTATGTCAGATGTATGACCTGTAATCCAGAAAAGACATTTCATTCTTCAAAAGCATCAAGTGAAGTCTTAATCTTTGATGAGTTTGCAGGTAGCTACAGGAGTGTGTATGAAAGCACTGATATGCAACAAAAAAGTAATATAAATTCAAAGGAATGAATAAAATGCATAAATTAAATGAACATAGAAAGTGGTGGTGTGTTGGACCATCAACAGTCAAGGGAAATGTCAACAACAACATCAACAACAAAAATAATGATGATGATGATGACGAAAATGATAATAATAATTAAAATGTTAATAATAATTCCAATCTTATTTCTTATCATTGTTGGTGCATCAGGGAGTTTGTACCTTTCTGGAGCCTGTTCAGCAGCTACTGTTACTTCCTTTGGTCCTAATAATTCTCTCCACCCTTCAACGGCATCCTCTCGAGCTAAACAAAGTGCCATCATTGGTCCACTGCAAACATCAAATATCACAATTTCATCAGAATGGAGGTTAGGTGCATGGAGTATCGAGGGGCCTCCACCTTTGGCAGCCAGCCCCTGGACTGAACAATGCCTCTCTGGCTAGTACAAATGCGCAATCCAGCCATAAGCCACCATAAAAAGGAAAAAAAACTGGTACCCACCACATTGGAATATTAATTAGTAGAAGAAAACTGGCTGAACAAACATTAATTTTACGTTGCTGTACACTTTGTTCAGCCTTAAGCCTAAATTAGTTTTAGTAGTAGTGGTTTTTACAGTTCAGTAGTCTGTAGCAAAATGACTGATACCCAACGTTTTAGCCAGAGGAGTGTCCAGCCATCCTATGGACGCCCATTTTTGGAAGACATACAAGGAAAATTCACATAATCTCTTATAATTCTATGGGAAAACATGCCTTCTGGACGGCCAGTTTTCAATGTCTGGTTAAAAGACTGCTGATACCAACTATTAGGATATGAAAACTTGAGGTACAGTAATCTGTTGCACGTTCAAGACAAACCTGGTCATGTTTGTAACCAAAGTCTCAAAGAAGTCTGAGCCTTTGTGTTCCTCGTAGAAAGTTTCTGCCTGCTCTCTGGATAACATCATTTCCTTTGACATGGCTATAGTAAAACCTGCCTGTTCTATCTTTGCGATTATAGAATCTGAAATGTAAAATAACATCGTTTCTTTTATTTTTTGCATCTTTTAATAAAAGAAAAAATGATAAGTAACTGGACTTGCTGAAAGGCGACTTTTACCGGGCAGCCATAAAACCTAGACTATACAGAAATATTGTACTGCATGAAAACGATAAATTAACCAGAACAGACAGCGAACGTGTAGCTTATAAAGACGTACATGGGCCTTAACTCTGAGACTATAAATGGAGATCTGACAGTCCATCTATCCAATTTATCATTTGAATTAGAAAAGCGTTTTACCGATATAAACAGAACAAGAAAACTTTGATAAGTTTGTTGAAGATCTATTAAAATAAACCTAAAATCTAGTTAATTGCGTTCCGTGACTGATAAGTGTTGGTCTATTATATCGTTAATTCCTTAGAGACATTGTAAGCCATAATCTAATTGGTCAAGGCACTTTTCTGTTAAATCGCAATACATTTATCTCCACACAAACATTAGTGACACCGCACAAATATTATTTTATAAGTTTTCTACATCCAGTTCTGTTACGAGAAGGGAGTTAATTCTACTGATGTTTAATTTGGATCAAAAAGTTAAAAAGTGTTAGTATAACAATGCACTGGTCAGTGACTTCTACACTATGCGTTGACAAAGCAAGGCAGACGAAGTGACAGCTAGACCTATATAGACAGATACTACAGTGAAACATAAGAATTGCTCAAGATTCTTTGCCAAAGTTCATTATTTAATCCACTGCAAAATTTAAGTTAACGCATTCCAAAGTAAAATATGGGTTGATTTCTTTCGAAAATACAACAGATCATGGATTGTGGAAGAATTTTGAGGTGAGTAATGTCAAGTTTGAAAATGCAGAAATGATCGTCGCAGTGAACGCAATTTATGCAATTGCGTAAAGAGGCCTGAAAAAAAAATTCAGGCCCCGGTTGTTCAAACGTTGGATAGCGCTATCCACCGCATAAATCACTACCCCGCGGAAAAGTATTACGGAAATCAATTACGCTATCCGCTGGATAGTGATTTATCCAGTGGATAGCGCTATCCGACTTTGAACAACCGGGGCCAGGACTTCAACGGGGTTTGAACCCGTGACCTCGCGATTACCGGTGCGATGCTCTACCAACTGACCAATGAAGCCACTGACGTTGGGAGCATGTCAACTGACCTGCTCCCAACGTCAGTGGCTTCATGGCTCAGTTTTCTTAGATGAGAGATCATGACTGGGGCTGTTGAATATGTAAAAAGCCAGATGGTTTCTCAATGTTGCAGATTTGTTTATAGTTATCTTAATTGCGCGCCTTTGGAACGCCTGGATTGAAAATAGAGAAACAACTACATTTTGACTTTCTGTTGTTAAATGTTGTTCTGCTGCTAAACCTTGTCAATTTTTCCACCATTTACCATGAATATTGATTCGCAATACTTTTTTTAAACTAACCAGTGCAATACGATAACCGATAATAAACATTCTTTCTCTTTTTGAAGCCTCTCTGCAGGCATATTGCAGCGCAGATCGTGATTCGGAAATATTCTGTACCGCTGCAGCAGCACTGTTAACTACTTTCAAAACACTTTCCAAGGTAGCGCTCAACAGCCCAAATTTGCAACTACTGCAGCCCAGCTCTTTCACAGCCTTTTGCAGTGTTTCTTGAAGTCATAAAACTTATAAAATCACTCCGTATCGATTGTAAATGGTCGAATGGTCGTTTCACCTCGATGAGCTTGGTGGTTTTTTAAACTGGACTACAGATTTTAAATACTTTGGAATCAATAAACAACATGAAGAGGGAAAGCTAGCTAAATTGCTGCAAAGTCAACACAGAAAACTTGCGTAACACCATAACATGAGAGCCGAGCAGTGAGTTGAATCGCGGTTTTGCAAATAAAAGCGATAATTGTAAGCAAAACCAAACATCGCAAAAACTGACAGTTTATGGTTGTTGCAAAAAAATTATTTGTTAAAGGGGCTGTGTCACAGGAGTCCAGTTCATTTTGTTTAATTTTGCCAATTACTCGCCCTCAATCGCTATGCAACTTAAAGTAAGCAGAGAAATTACAGGTAAATGACAAAATCAGAAATCTGAGACAAACAAATATGTCTTAGTCCAGAGCGTTATTTTTGAAGTTGCAAGCGGCAGGGATCAACTTTGAAAAACTGTTAGGCTGAACAGTTGTCAAAACCGCTAATTTCAATCCGTTTCAATCTCCTTCAGTTTTGCCCATCCGTGGCATCTGTTGTTTCTGTTATGTTATTTTAGCCTTCCTTTAAATTTTGAACCGTTATTTTCATGTTTCTCTTAATTTAACGGGCATTTTGTAATTTCCTAATTTGGCTGAATTTCGTGGCACAGCTCCTTTAAACACCTGTAGCAATGATAAAGGAAAAAGAAAATTTATTACGTCATATGTGACATTTTTGTTTGGGTTCCTGTCTATGAATTAGGGAAAAAATGTTTTCCCAGTACAAGTCGTTGCGAGATTTTCACGTGCGTGATGTTATCTCTGTATAAAACAATGATTTGAGTTATACATGCAAGACTTGTTGATCTCCCACCAAATACTCTCCTGCCTTTGTGAGGCTTTCGCAATGTCTAGTGAAATTAAAAACGACCTTTTAAATCTCCAAGAATATTTGATAGTTGGGAAAACAAGTCCGTCATCTACAAAAGTCGCAGAAGAAATGCGAAGCAAATATCAGAAAAAATAGATCGCCTTTCAAGTTGCGACTGGGAAGTTTGAACACATTAACAGAGGATGACTTAAGTTCTGCTCTCATAATATACCAACTGAGGACTATACAGAAGGATTGAAGGCCCTAAAGACAATTTGAAATGGTTATTGTCTTTACAATTCCACTTCAGTGTTGATTCAAGGATATGAATCTGCAAACCTCATTCTCAGACTATCAGTAAATAGGGCCTTGCATAATAAATGAGTAATTTATAAACAGTGCGGCATTTTAAGTCAAACTTGCCAACTGCTTTTGTTAATGACAATTTTTGATATATTAATTTATTAATATAATTTGGCGCCTAAAATTTTACCCTTGGCGACTAAACCCAATTAGAGTTGGTCGTCAGATGGCCACTGACCAAAAACTTTAACTTGGAGGGTTGTAGAGAAATAATTTTTCTCTCAGTTGCTTCTTGAGTTTAAGTAAGCTAGATTACCTTTACGTGTGCGGAGCGCATCTGGTCTAATCAGAGCAAGAGTTCTCTGCAGTCGTTTCTTTTTCCTTTTCTGGACAATGGTTGGAGCCACAAAGTCAGGATAAAAGAAGGCAAGCTCTCTAAAATGAAAAGCAACCATCTTACCAAACATAGCATACATAATACAAAGTTAATTTGGCACTATCGTTGAGGTGAGGTCTATTATATCCATACCATTATCTAGTCTTTAAGAACTCATTCATTCAGTTATTTTACCTAAACCACATAAGAATACATCAATAATATACAAGAAATTTAAAACTATATGTTAAAGATAATAGACACTATTCTAACTAAATTATTTACAACATTTTCAAAGTGGTAATGAAAAGAAAGCCAAAATAGAAGCTGGGGGCTTATAAACTTTAGGCTTCCTGGCTTTATAGGGTACACCATGTGAGTTAAGGGTACAGAATGAAAAATGGATAATTTTTAAAAGTAAAGAAAAGAAAGGACAAAGAAAATGTTAATGTGGCTCAACAAAGAGTATATTTGACTAAGAAAGAAAGCTAATAAACGGTGGGGATCAACATATCAACATATCAGTATAGTCATCAAGACATGATAGTAAATAAACCATTTTGGTGCAATTATCCATATCACCTCACTATGATTACTGTAAGTAGAAAATCACTTAATTTTGCCTGTAGAAAGCACTTGATTGTGTTGTTTACAATAGGCTTGATGTCTAAGTGATTCAGTAACAGATGTCTCTTCTCCTTGGACGTATCACATTCCTCAAGAATGACGCCAGTGCTCAAGTGTTAACAAAAAGTGCCAAAATGAACCAATAAAAGGGTACACTGGAACAACCCTTTGTTAAAAAATGTTCACAGACATTCCCTCGTTCTCACCCCAGTCTCCCCTCATTATTTTCCCTCATTTCCCCACGTACAATTGAACTTGCTCCTGGCTACCATCTGAACGCCACACTCTACTATCTGAACGCTTGACAAACCCATTACCTAGTAAATTGAATTTACTCATTGACAGAAAAAGAAGGTCAGTGTTTTTCTTACCTAGCTGCACTGTCAGCAGAGTCACAGGCATGGAGTGCATTCTTCACAGTATCAGTTCCATATAGAGCTCTTAGGCTGCAATATCAAAATTGATGACTATAAATTAACAGCTTTTACTCACAACTCTCTAACTTTCTATCTACAGTAGGAGGCTTTGAGGCCTGAGAACTCTCACTTGAGAACTAAAAATGAACTTTAGGTACAGCGTACCTCTGATTGCATAATCAAGAATTTTTAAAATTTTCCAATATTCAATCAAAGAATGCTATGGTTCCCCAGACTATGCACATATCAATCAGAGTTCTGGATGTTAAACAAGAAACACAATTACATAAACGCAAGCCCACATCTCACCAACAGCAACATGCTTCACAACTTCCTTTTAGAAGCATATTTTTACAACAACCAAATTGCAATGCAACAGTCATGTACATGAACAGAGTAAAATGCATACTACATGTGAAGAAAATTGGTCCAATCAAACAAAGGGGTTCAAGACATACTTTTTTACTTTATGAGAAAACAGTTTATTAGTAATTAATTGCTGTGACTTCACTTAAGCTATAAAAAAACATGTAATAAAATCACATCAGTTTGCACAGAATAGAGACACAATTCCCCTTAGTGCAGCCGTATGTATTGTTATTGTAAGTGACAGAAAGTTACTTGCACCATAAGTACATACCTGGCTGGGGCCTCTTCTTTAGCAATGTTGACATCTTTTGGACCAATAAGATCTCGGAAATAATCAATGGTACCTTCGCCAGCATTAGCTTCATCGGCTTTGCTTAGCACAAGAGTCATACAAGGACCACTGAAAATTAATTAAAGAACCAGTTTTTTCCACAATCAGCTTTGTTTCAGCCACTTGAGAAAAAATGCTTTATTAATGTGCACAGAAAGCAGGAAAAAAGGCAGGGAAAATAAAGACAGTATTTTGAATAGGTGAAAAAAAAAACCTGTCTGAGGGACTTGTATGCAGCCAAAATATCATGTCCATGGCTTTTGTCCTTTGTACACATAATCATTGTGAGCCACATGGCCATTAGATTTCAGAGGGGAGATTACGACTGGTTTTCGGCAATGTCTTGATTTTTGGAAAGAAAGAAAAACCAAGTGAAAGATAAGGTAAAAAAGAAAGTTAAAGTATAGGGCAGGAATAAAATTATAATGTATTTATAAACAGCATTAACACCTTCTGGGTTGGATGAAATGAGCAACAAAAAACTGTCAAAGACTCTCAGCTACGTAAAAGATTACTGCAATTTTTAAGGACTTTTAAGGCTTAATTCAAGCTGTACTGTGACCCCAGTGTTTATAGGAAGTGATTTCATTACCTTGACATAAATTCCACCAGTTGATCAAAGTGTTCAGAACCTTCATGCTGTTTATAGAACTCTGCAGCTTCCTCCTTAGTCAACAGCTTTTCTTCCTTCTTCAAAACTTCCATTCCTGACTCTTCAACCTGTTTGTTAAAGGCAAACCCTTTTGTTGAAGGACAATGCGTGTTCTTTTTCATGTACATGTAGACCAATGCCACTATCTACTCTGCCCCTCTTCCCCCCCACCACCATCTCAAGCTCCACCCATACCTGTGACTCTACTTTCACCCCGTGACTTAGTGAAATAATTAGAAAAAAAGCATCAGTAAGAACACCAGAAACCAAAATTTGGCACAAAACAGTAAATACCTTCTGGATTATTTCATCAACAAGACCAGCTTCCACAGCATCAGGTTTTATGATGGCTACAGTGACTTGCTTAGGAAGTTCAACTGTGCACACAAATAATAATAGAAGATAATGTTACTTAACAATCATGATTGAGTGAAATACACGTAAAAACATCTCCTACACTTACATTTTGTATAATAGAACTGTTTCCCAGAGATAATAAGATTTACTACTTACAGGATTATAAAATCTGTCACAATCATACCCAGCCATAAATAGCTGAAAATAAAATATTTCTGTGGCGCAGGATATTACATGGGAAAGCATTCTAGGCCAACACCTCGTTTAGTCCACATTATTTTTTATTTAAATATATAACTACTTTTTATTTTAATTTATTAAGTGACAATTACTGTGACAATAATTATTTTGAGTTTACTGCACTTTGTTGGTATACATGCTTAATTAAATGTGGTCAGAGACCTTCTAGCTGTGTAAGCCTTTTCAGAACATGAGCCATGGATCCTACCCAGATTGCCTGCCGAGTATACTGTTTTTTTTTTCCGCATGTTTTTTCTGGCCCCTATTCTGACAGTATTTTTTGTAAACTGTCCCTCAGCTCTGTCCCAGTTGTGTTTAGCTTGTAGTATACTGTATTGCTATATCTCTTAATTCTCAGCTGAAACAGCCAAAATAAACATAATGGTTTTTCGATTCATGTTGTACTGCGTAGTGGAGCCAAATTATATACTTTTAAATTTAATTGTTCCATGTTCAATTATGAAATGCTCTGAACTTCCATTTATATTACTCATACTCTAGCATCAATGATCAACACACCTTGCATATTGTACGCTGAATAATAATCATCTGGGCCTAGTTGTTCAAAAGCCGATTTGTGCTAAACCCACAGTTAAATTTTAATCTAGGTTTCCTTTTCTTTTGTTTAAAAGCATTTTCTCAGATAATTTTCCCTATTCTTTTTAGAGCATCCAATCACCAAATTGCAGACCAAAGGAATTAAACTGAATTTGCTTTTTAAGCTTTTATATCTGAATTCAAATTTCGCACTAACCCTGGGTTAACTTAACCCCGCTTTGAACAACCCAGCCCTGGTTAAAAAGAATTTTTTTGTACTTTACTACATTAGGCTCTAATATTCAAAGCAATGGAGATCAATGCAGACTATCTACAGACTGACTACCTTTTAGATCTGACTTCCTCTCTACCTTTATGCTTCTAGTTCTATGTGTCATCCTCTCAGCTTAAGAAAGACATTCCAAATTAAGACAATGAAGACTCAATACAAGCCATTTTTTTTACTAATAATAATTTGTAACTTAGGGAACATGTGTATAATCAGTGAATTCTAACTAATCTATCCTAAATAAAACGCAAGTAGATCATGTATAAATTTCTTTTGTTATGTATAGAGGTACCAATAATTCTTAAGCTCAGAGTACGGTAATATTGTTTATTATATTATATCTTATTAATATTTTGATGAACATTTTGGATACAGCTATATTCTTATGACCTGAAGGCTTTGGTGCAATTTATTAAACTCTTATAACTGTACTTATGTTGACATCAGTTGTCTGAGGGCTGTGTGAGATTTTGTAAATTGAATTCAGCTTTGGATGCATAATTTTCTGGAAGCTTTTGTTCAAAACACGAACCAGTCACCATCTTCTTATACTGTGCAAAAGCTCCCACTGTGGGATACATTATATTATGTGCACAGGGAATGGTCAGCAGTTATTCAGTCATAGTAATATGGCTTTTACTGATTAAGTCATTAACATCTTGGTCTCTATAGAAGACTCAAACCATTCTAATTTATAAAGTCAACTTAAGAGTTGTTAAGCATGTCATTTTCCTGTACTCTGTGGTACAGAAAAAAAAAACGTGGTCCCACTATTATTAAAGTTAATAATATTAAATAAATGACTCACCCAATTCTTCTTCCTCTTCTTCAGTCTCCTTTTCTTCATCTTTCTTTTCATCAGCTATTACAGTCTCTTTTAGAGCCTCTTGGTCAACAAACTACAGTTGTAATAAACAATACCAGCCATACTTAATCTAACTTCCTTCAATTAAGTTGACTAACTAGGATCGTAACTTAGCATTATTTTGAGAGGACACATCAAAATTATATTTGCATTTTCAAAGTAATCTTTACACTAAGGGTTAGGCTAATGGGAATTTTTTTCTCATTATTTTTTTGTTCTCCTTCTTTTCTTGATGCATATTTAAAGATGAGGATGGTGGACCTTTGTGAGGGACATCCCAACATCTGTCTTGCAACCTCTGACCAAGTGAACATTTTCATCTTGTTTTTACACGTAGTAGAGGGCTGTGTTAAAGAGCCCAAAAGCTCGTAAAAACTTGTGAACTTAGGGCACAAGCTTTCCAAGTCATCCCAATGCAAGTTGTACATGCATTTGTCATCATGAGCAACTGCTAGTGGTGTACAAGGGAATGCTATTACTTACAGCTTGCAGAAACTAGAAAGAATCCATGTTATTATTGTTTCATTATATTAGCATTAGGAAATTTTACTCACTGGCAGTCTCTCAGAACGTCCTTCTAGAACCTTGTGTTCTTTTTCCAGTTCACCCCGTATCAACTTGATTAACAATGGACAGTTACATCCTCTGGTAACATTCACAAGGATGCCACCCTAGAACACAAAATAATGTTTATTAAAAATAATTGCTACCATTAAAACAGAACCTAGCTGTCATTAAGGGTTTGCGTGAGTTAAGTCTCTCAAGCAAAGTGGCCCGTCATTTATATTGACTCATTTGGAAACTTATAAAGTAGCGGGCTGATTTTACTGCAATGGCAGGATACCAATAAAAACCATGTTAGAAGTAGTTTGTGTACATGTATGCTGAGGTTATTACTGGAGGAGGCAAGGAATGAGTTGAGTTTTGAAATAAGTTTTTTACTGGTTCTCTCCTTTGCTCTGAGAGGCTTATCTCTGGATACTCTCAGCTGGTTTTCCTCTCTCCTCAAAAACTAGCATTTCCAGCAAAAAATTCCAATTTGACCAGAAATGGAGAAGAACATCACCCTATGATGTAGAACAAGAGTGAACTGTCAGGCTATCTAGCCTGTATTAATCACAAGTTGTCCAATGGGCAAGCACGATTTGCCCAGGTAAAGTGAAAGTTAATTTGGTAATAAAGGAAGTTGGTAGGCCTGTTCTGGGATAGAAAACTTCAGCAACAACTTGCCCAAAGTGCAAGCAATTTTGTTAGTTTTCTATAAGTTCCTGCTTATTTGTTTGCCGGGTCCCATTATTTCCACGAGTGCTTGTGAACTAGCTAGAGAAGCTAAGTGTAAAAAATAATTAATACAACAATGCATATTAATTAAATTCAGAAACCATTATCCCATGTATATGACCTTCTAAACAACCTCAGCAATCGGACTACATGTACAGTATTAATAAAACCTTTACCAAACAGCTTAATTGAGCAGTTTAAGCTGCTGCACTGGTTAAGATGTTAAACATTTTATATTCATTGTTATACAGTAATACTTACAGCATAGAACAGAAAAGTTGGTTGACTCTTCATTCGATAAGCTTCCAAAGAATCAATAGAGTCTGTTTCAGCCTTTCAAATAATAGAAAAAAAAAGAAATTAAGTTACAATACAAGAATCCAGCAAACTAAATTAGAGTATAAAGGCTCATAAAAGATATAATGATAAACTTACTGTAGCAAACACAAGCAAGTCATCTCCAAGTTCATTTTTTATTCTCTTAAAGGAACTGACAATGGCTTTGCATGGACCGCACCAAGCTGAGTATGCATCCACAACTGATAATAAAAAAAGTTTAAACTTCAATTTTATAACAGTTAGAGTGACGGTCGATACAATATGCATGTTGTAAATAATTGTTAATGGCAGTTTACACAATTGCTTCATCTGATTATTATTTCCAGTAAACATCACCATATTACAATAATTATTGAGTTTATAGGCTGCGATCATGACTTCCCTTATATCTATTCATCTTTCGAGGTTAATTGGAGGGCAAGATGCATTGAATATGTACCTTATTTGATTTTCCAGCCTGTCACATGTAAAAAAGCCAGAATCTGCATGGAATTCTTTCTGACTGGTCCTAGCCTGTGTGGCAGGCGTTTGAAAGGGAAGGAAAAGGGGGTTTTGGGTGCAAGAGAAATGCGAGGGGCATGCAAAGAAGGAGGGAGGGAAACCTGCCAGGAGGCCATTGTTTTTGCCATCCCACCAACTAATTATGTTAAACTATGCAGAAAAAATGCAACTGTGATGCAATTATTTTTAGTCCTATTTCTTGTACTGTTTTTCTTTTGTTTTCCTAAAACAAGGAATCTGAAATGAAGATACTATTAATAAAAAAAATTCAATTGCGGTCGTCCAATTGAAGGAAGAAAGTTGCAGTGATGCATGGCTTCTTGTTATATAGAATCCGGCATAAATTTATTCAAGTCGTTGCTAAAGGAATTGGGCTGGACTATGCATGTAATGTTTTTGTCTGCGAAAAAATAGAACACTTTGCTGACTCTCGAATTGGATCCAGCGCATCATTAGAGGACTCAAAAGAACGCTGGTTAGGCAGGGAAAGAAGAGCTGAACTTCGAAGATCTGCAAGAAGGCTGCAATTAAATATTATTTATTTATTAAAGTAAGTCCCTGGCAGCTTTATAACGTCCATGACCAGCAAGAAGTCCTGAAACCAAAAATCGTTAAGGATAGATTGTTTTGTCTTCAAAAATCTGGTTGTTGATAAGGTGTAGCCCGTATGGCAGGTGATCGAGGTCAAACAGTAGATATAACAAACACACAGACCATGGGCAGCATGATTTTTCCTTTCCTTCTTCTAGTGAGTAAAACAAGCAAGCCATTGGGAGATGAGACTTCTCAATACCAGTCCGTAAAATTTAACTAGCTGATAGGTCTTTTCCTACGTACGATTAATCTTTTCAACTGCTTTCTTCTAATCTCCTTAGCTTTCAAGCTGAAATTGATGCCTTTCATTTTCTCATTCTAACAATAAATTCCGTACAGAAATCTCATCACCCTTCATATTTTAAAATGATTACTGAAAGATAGATTAAGTTACTCAGTAGCATGATGTTGATTTCAAACAATCAGATTAAGAAACACGAATTCAGACAGTGATTGACACATTTTGAAGACTGACCAATCAGGATTTTAACATTCGCCTGGTGGATGTTTATAATGTGAAAAGCAATAGTCTCCTGGCAGGCGTTTCCTTCCTTTTGTCCCTTCCTCGCACGCCATTCATGTTACTCTTGCGCCCAAAACCCCCTTTCGCTTCCCTTCCAAATGCCTGCCATGCAGGCTAGACTGTTCCAGACAAAATACATCTGATACAGTTCAGTGTTCTGATTAGCTAAAAATTAAAAAATTACGCATCCCCAATAATAATTAATAATAATAATAATAATAAATTAATGAGAATGATGCAATAAGAGTATGAAACAAATATTACGGCCAATACTCAGACCCATACATGCAGTGGGGCCTGCAGGGGTGGATCAGTTTAACAGTACAAGCAGATCAGAGAAAAAACAAAAACATTTTCGAGCTCAATATTCAGACTTGGAATAGGAAACTGCCTTGGGTCTAGGCAGAGGTAGGGCTGTGCTCTAGCAGAGCCCAGTGGCCCCTGGTGCCCAACTCTTGCTATCGGGCAACTAGAAAATAATCTTAGTTTTTTCATACAAGTCACATGCTTGGCGCCCTAGATTTTACAGGTTTATAACACTGAGCTCCCTTCAATTTTCCGTAGAGCACAGTCTTGAATAATAATTATTAGTATATACACACTCAGTGATCTTGGTGATTTAAGCAATCTGATTGGTTCGCTATCTCGGACTATTCAACAATATTCACCTCCTAGCGAGTGGATAATGTGTGAGCTCAGTGTTTTTCCCATTTTTTAGAGAACGATCTTTTAAAAGTCGACAGAATCCTAGGGCTGACTTTTTTTAAGGCAAGAAAAGACTTGGAAGGATTCAATAACATTTTTCAATTTACTGTAGCACTCAGTAGTAGCAGGAGTTTTGTGCTTAGTTTGTTTAAACTCCCGTTCATAGAAGAAGCTTTCCGTTTTCTAAGAAGACAATTTTGGCTCAAAAATCGAAGTTTATTTATGACAAACAAATTTAAAAGGAAATGTTTGCAGAAATTCTACGTTTCAAGTAAACAGGAAAAAAGAATGATACAGAAAGACGACGTCTCACCTCGAGCAAATGAGCCGCCATTTTTGTCAGCACTTCATGCGAAGAACGACACAACAAACCCTTTTGGCTATAAACGTGGCGAGTCAACAGAAAACAACACAGCTCTACTTTTCTTCTCAGGTAAGGAAACAGTTCAAACTTTTGGCAGTTCCATTTAAGCCATTATTTTGTTTTGTTTGCGAAATGATAAACTTGACCATGTTTGAAATTTCTGCAAAGATCTAAGAAACTTACGCATCTTTTATCTGTCAATCAAATCGAACTTTTGAATGGTTTCCTCTCTGATTTTGTTGAAATCACTTCATGTGTATATACTAAAACAATTATTCTTTTCAATCTCGTTGAATAGTGGCTTTGGCAATTTTACCTCGTTCGCGTCTAAAAATATTTTGCCACTAATTTCAAAGAATAATTGTTAATTATCATTATGCACCTACCAACCTCTTAAAAGTACATAATGTCAGATACCAACCTATCAGTCCTTCCTTTGTTAAAAGTTCATCCCACTGTTCTTGTGTTTTTACTTCAACCTAAAAAGTCAGCATTCATATAAGTTGAATAATCGTTCATAACCAGCAAAAGTTCTGTTTCATCAAACTTTATATTTATTTTTAAGCCAGTACAAAAAACAACATCACTAAAGACAAACAGTGCTGGAGATTATATACTTGGAAGAGTAGAATTTCTCAAAATATATAATTATGTCCTTAGCTGATAAATTCGCTAAACCAACCTTTTTTACTTCCAGGGTGCCAAGAAAGTTAGTTTTACAGCTTGCCATTTGGGCAACCTGTCTCTAGCATGTACTTATAAGCCCAAAATATTTATATGACCAAAAGTGCATCAAAAGCTTTTTGATTGATCACAGTTTTTCTGTAATATGCATTTCGCAAAAAACCTTCACTTGCCTATCCAACAACCTAAGAACAAAATTCACTATATATTCAGACACTACTTTCTTTGCACGCTGACTTCCCTACACCAAAATGCTATTAAATTTCAACCCGACTCTTATTCACTTCCTGAAAATTTGAACCTTTCCTCGAGGCTAGAAATAATTGGGATATCACGGCATTTTGCTTTTGAACCAGACAATATCACACATTAAAAGAATAATAAAATAGGTTTATAGATATTAACCCTAGGACGTACAGGGGGGGGGGGTACCCCCTTCTAAGGTTTTTTCGAGTTTTTTCCTAGAGGATAAAACATCGGTACCTGGCGTTTTCAGTAGCTGTTCATTCATCCCTTGTGCACATTTTGACACAAGTTCAATGATGGTCAGTTGCTATGGTTATGAGATATGACGTCATAAGTAGCAGCAGTGTGCAAAGAATGTAATGTCCAGTTGTCCAGGCCTAGTGGATTTTGCTATCGGGCTGCTAGTGAATTTTGTTCTTTTAACTTGCGCAATGGGCAAGTTAAGTTTCTTGAGGAAATCAAATTACAGAAGAACCGGGAAATCAATTTTGCTCATCAAACGTTTTTGGGACTAGTTGAATGACATTTGGGCTAGTATAATAGCTTCAGCTTGCCTGAATGGCAAGATTTAAAAATGACTTTCTTTGCATCTGAGCAAGTGGTCAAGCCATTTTCGGGTGAAAATACATCTTTTTTTCAATAAAAGTAAATCTTGTGGCTAAAATCATGCAAAGTGTTTATTTCTGTGTTATTTTTCATGTAAAGCACAAAAAATTACTATTTCTTGCAGTTTTAACCCGGTTTCTAATTCTTGGTAAAATCTAAGATGGTGGCCAAGATGTTGACCATTGTTGTTGGTGACGTCAAAGGCCTCCAGCAGTGCCACCACCCATAAAACATGCCTTATCTTGTTAAGAAGATCAAAGGCTTTCCACTAGAGGTAAAATCATTTCAAAATACTGCAACATACACGTATCAAAAAATCCGGGGAGGGGTTCCATCCATCCCTCCCCCCTCTTGACTTGTATAATGGTGGGGCTATGAATTTGTGTGTACGTCCGAGGGTTAATTTGACAATATATTTTTTTTCAAACACACATTACAAAAGAATAATTCTTCAACCAATCTTTATCATTGTACATTGTACTCACTTAATCTGTCTTCTCACTGGCTAAAAGACTACAGATAATTTTGAAAATCAGTGCAACCTACAGATTAATTAGCTATCTGCTTGCAGATAACTAAAAAGGGTGTGTTATTTTTTTTTAAGAAACCAAAAACAGATTTGTGATCTCAGATCATACAGACTCTTCACTACCAAAAAATGGAAGGTCCGAGAAAGAATCATTTACCATGACATTATCGGATGTCCTTATGCTCCTTGCAATGAGAAAAATAGAGGGAAAAAAAACAACAAACATATTCTTGCGGTGAAGACAAGAAGGATAAGCAACATAAACGACATATGAGTTTATGAAATGTATATATTTTGGTTTGAAACACAAACATTTCTTGAATAGAATTCACCTTAGGATAGTAAATTATAAGGATATAAAACTGAATCTGATAAATTGCTTGTTTTTTTATATAAATTACTTGGAAAATATAGACCGATTCATAAAAGCAGACAATACATACGTGGTGCAAAAACATGACAAGCAGGGTTTTAAAAACAGTCAACGAATGTAAATAAATGACAAACACGGAGTGATGTGTAACTTCTGGCTCAAAGTAAGGCACCACCAACATAGGTTTAGTTAGAATGTCCTATTGCATAAATGTACAAAATCTGTTGGGAAAAAAGAATCCACCAAGAGTGTGGATTTTATGGATTCATGATCCCTTCTTGGATTTGCCCAAACAAACGAAAAATCCATTTTTGGATTCGGAAATCCGGATTTGGATTTGCCCAAAAAAGGCACCCTAATAGCCTGTCCGGCTACATAAAGGTCATTGCCGAATGATTTAAGCATATAAAATTGTGCAAATCTGAGTCGATCTGTTTAAGTCTGGCAAATTCCCTTGAGGTTATTATGAACGATTTTGCTAAATTTTAATGACATAGTTGGCACTGAAATTTTACGAGGGAAATGAAATCATCTTAAAAGTTCAACTCCACTAAAAGAGCAACAACATTTGACCTCGCAAAATATCACAACAAACCCAGAGCGCCACAAAGCAACGTCGGTGCTTAGCAACATATTAGTCATTCTTGGTTATTCAATCGATACTGAACGTAACTTTTTTGCTTCATATACCACTATTCAATGTCTAAATTGATCTGCGAAGTTCTAAAATCAAAGAGTAGCTTGCCTGCAATGGCCTTTGGGCATCTGGGTTCTTCTTGATGTACGCCATATTGGATTCGATTAGATACAAAATGGTCGCCAAGATCGATAACTAATCAAATTCATAACTAACCACCTACGGTTAATGTTTATCAACCTTTTATCTGGTGTTCATAGGATAAATAGATTATAAATATTTTATACAGCTTTGTTTGAAAAATGGCTTAAATGCTCCCATGAAGTCGAGAAAAAAAAAGCATGATTCTGCCGCCGTGTGGTTGATCGATCCCCGATCTGTAATCTTCTTCTAGTCTTTATAACAAATTTAAGCTTAATATTTAACAAAGTTAAGTAAAGTGTCGTGATATTTCCTTGACGAGACAGGAATGACAGTTCAATTATAATGTTGAAAACTCAGTTTGCTGAATTTGCACGCTAATATAAAAGAATAATAGAGATTATTTTTGCAGATACAATTACGCGGGTTTTTAGCTCTCAGTTAAAAATAAGAAACAGCCTAAATTTTCAACACTTTGTAAATTTGAAGGGCATTGGTAAAAATTACACGATGTAGTTTCTTATTTTACTTCATGAAACAGCTGTAAAACATGCGCTAAAAAACTGAAAGTTCAGGCACTCTCACAAATTTTGCACCACATTGAGAGTGTTTACAATTCACTTCCCACTTCAGTGCACCGTTATCATCAAGGTAAATCAATATTGATTACACAAAACGAATCCACCTTTTGTTGACTTTTACACCCTAATAGAAACTCGTCTGATATGAGCAACTGTTCTAAAACGAAGAAGTAAAATTCATCGGGAGAGGAAACTGTATTTCTACAGGCTTTCGGAGTTCTGTGAAAGAAGGATAGTTGAAGCGCTACAGAAAACAGTGTCTTCCCTCAAACACAGCGAAAGTCACAAAATAAAAAAACGAAACTAACCTGAAGTTCTACTTTTCCTTTAGATTTTGCCATATCTTTTTTCAACTCTCCCAAAAAACCTTGCGTTTTTACACGGCGAGTGCTATCGCATGCGGTTGCGTTACTTCGCGCCGGTCCTGGCTATGGCTACCATGGAAACGAAATGAAAACTCGGCCGGACAATTTTTACTTTGAAAAGCGCTGGCGCGGAAAAACAAATCCACTCAGTATGGAAACTGTAAAATTAACAGGTAATGACAAACAAAATAGGGTACAGGAAAGAACGAAAAACATCAAAAGTTTCGTAAAACCATGATTATGAAAAGGCTGGTAGATGGCGGATCTACGGGAGGAGCCTGGGCGTCAACCCAGACGTCAAGGGCGTTCAACATCGTTCATAGAGGGTCTCAATGGGGTTTTACCTTGGACGTTTGACGGGTAATTTTTTCTAACTATCACGGTTGACGGTTGAATTTTAGAGCATTTGACGGTTGACGGTTGTTAACTAGAAAGTCTGTTCAAGAAATAAAGAAATATTGATTTTTGTATAAAATAATCTTAACATGGTGTCTTGGAGGTTGTCTTGGGCTTTCGCTTTTACATTTCGAAATATTTTCAGATATAAGAAGTGCAAGTTGCGTTTTTAAGAAATGAAAGTGTGTTCTTGAGAAAATGGGAACTGAGTTTTCCAGTTTAGCCATTCTCAGTCAGGAGCCCCTAGGAAGATTGAAGGGCCTCTGCTCGCAGGGTACAAAGTCTGTGAAGATCAGCTGAAATAGTGAAATTTGAGATACCTTAATTAACACTTTCTGACGGTTGACCGTAAGAACGAGTAAACGTTTTGAAGGTTAATGGTTAACCCCGGCATTGAGACCCTCTTTACAGGGACCATGGTAACTCTCTCTCTTCCTGAACGAGGTTGCCCTTTGTTATCTCTAACGTCCAGCCGGACCCTTAGCCGGAACCTAGAAAAAAAAACTGTGGTACCCAGGGATGGCTCCTCCTTAGTTGGGTAACAATAATGGTAACGAACTGTCCGAACAAAGGTTGTTAAACGAAATTGTTGTTCGAAATTCCCTGTTATGTCGTCAGTTGAGACTTGAAAAATACCAAGAGATTGGCTAGAGTTTGGCAGGGTGTTAATTATAAAGAGGGTCACTGTGTAGTAGCCTCCAACGCAGACGTTCGTTGGGGTTCGTCAAGAGTTGGTCAGGCAGGAACGCGCATGACGAACCCTAAGAACGTCTTCGTGGGAGTCTGAGGCTAACTGTGTGGTGACTGTAATGGTTCACACCGGACTGGGTTCACACATTCAGCTACATTCCACAAATCATCGTTTTTGACAGTTTCCATCGTTTGGTGACTTAGTATAACATCATCGAACAGGAGCTCTTACATGTATCGAAGAAATTGTCGGTTGGGTTATAAAAAACGTCGCGCTTAGCTCAAGGTTACAGTTAAGCCTCCTAACCTGTAGTCCATATTTGACTTTAAATCGTCCAGGACGTGGAGCACGGGAAAGAGGGCAGAGATTGTGCGCTGAAGGATATGTCAGACAGCTGTTCCTGAGTGAAATCGTTCTCATCAGTTATTTCCTCGTTAAAGTAAGATTCACTTATATCTCGAGACAAATCGAGGCTGGTGGATGAAACCCGTTCTGTAACGCCATTTACTGCTTTTTTAAGCGCTTCGGTACCCAAAGATGCCATTTCATCAGCGTTTTGAAAGATTATCCCTGCACTGAAGAAGTATGAGGAACTCGCCTTACACTGCGCGAACAGTTTCCACCTTATCAAATCTTCTTTTCCTGAAAAGAAAACTGAGTACAGAAAAACAGTCAGGTAGGCAAAAGTGGTCGAAAAACTGAAAATACTCCCAAACCTGTAGGGCTTAAAATTCAAAATTTTTCAGTCAAATCTGTGAAAAGAATCGCTAGGTATCGGAGCAGGAACCGATGGGCTCCTGATCGGAGATGACAGGAGAACAATTACGGCTTTGCCTCTCGCAGTGGTAAATTGAGGAACACTTTCCACGGTCCCACAAATGTCAACCTGAATGGTCCTTTGTTTTCTGCCTGGAGAGAAATAAGAAACTTGGCGATCATCACGTACTGAATGAAGGATCTCTAGAAACGCTGTAAGGTGCCTTATACAGTCTAATAACCGTGCCGCCATAAAGAAAGCTCTGTAAGGCTATATTCACACTATACCGGATAGGTTTTCGTGCCGACAAGAAAAACTGTCCAGTCCAGTATGAACCGCAGTAACGGCACAGACTGGCTGTCGTTCACACACATCGAACATCATGCCGGGGCAGCCTCCTCCTCAGACGGTTCGTTTTTCGCTTCATAGAGGCGAGCGCGAAACGCGAGTGACTGGTGATGAACCGCAAGGGACCATGGGAAGGGTACAGCCGTCTCGCCCGTTGTCTCCTTCCCGCCTTCCTTTGAGCGCACATTTTCATCAAGAGAGAGACGTCTGGGTACGAGGCAGTTACACCAAAGAGTGGAACAGAACCTATCTGATATGTGACGCTCCACTTTCGAGACTGGCGAGGCGCAGTTTCGCCTCGTTACTGAAATCGTGCCCAAATCACTTATATGTGTGAACGGAAGCTCGTACGAGTGCTGGCGTACCGGACAAGGCTATCAGGTACAGTGTACTGAACATAGCCCAAAGTTTGAACCCCCGATCTCTGGCAAAAAGGGTAGTCAACTTGAATTGAACCAAATCTGCACTCATAATATATAAAAAAGTTCACTTGTTTGCTTCAGATTGTCTTGAGCCAAATTAAAAGAGGCAATTCAGAGCACCGCTGGAATTTTATTCCTTAACCACCAGATGTGTCATTGTTAAAAATAATATTAAAAATAAAAAAATAATAATAAAAAAAAAAACAGACACACACACGCGCGCGCAGTACCGATATTTGCACGTTACAAACTGTGCAAAACGGTCGATGTTGGTTTGTTTGGTTACAATGTTGGTATTCCTTCTAAGATTGTAAATTCCTTTTATTCGATTTTAAGCTATATTTCATGATCACTTCCAGCTGTGATTATAAAAATCTGAAGAAAACAACGATAATTGAGGCAGCTATGAGTATAAGTCCACCATTTTCCAAAAAAAAGTACGGAAACATGTTTTCACTTTTTCAATGTGATGTTCGGCTTTTTTCGCTGTTTAAGACATTTTTGAGTCAAGAAAAGGAAAATACGAACTGAGATTTAAATATTTGCTTAGCTGTCATTGTCTCCTCCGTCATTCAGTAAAATAATAAAAAAAACGTTAATTTCGTTGGTCTTGATACAACTCTGTTTCCAGTTATTCATTTTGTAGAAACAAAAAGGTTTCTTACCTGAATAAAAGCAGACTCTGAAATGAGCTTAATGACAAATATGAAGGTCGTGAAGCACATATTGTGGATTCTATTTCTTTTTATCGTAAAAGGTTAATTATTTAGGAGTTCCCTTATTATAATAGTATTTATTTCTTTTGAATGGCAGCTTATCATTCTCATTAATTTTGAATGTTTCTTTATTTACATGAATTTCTCATTTGCTGTAGCCTGAATTACCAGAGACACATGAAAACGACTCGTGATCAAATATTTACCGGAAATTAATATTTCCAAAATTGTGGTTTAGAATAACAACAACTATAAAATAAATGATGTAGTTTTAATATGACGGAAACTGTGGTGTCAAGGTAATTCGCAAGTATTAGGTCGCTCAAGGACACACTAAAACCACAAATTTAGCTCTTAAGTAAATTAAGGCACACGCTTTTTTGTACATTTCTTTGCAGGCCCTACACAACTACTATAATGTGGGTGACCAATTCTATAATTTTTGCTCATTTAGGAAGCGCGTGCTTCGATCTTCCTGGATGTCAAAAACTGCAGAATTATAGGTTTAAATAGGGCATGAACAAAACAAATTCTCTTCGAGGTCTGTATGATAAAAAAGGCACACAGGCATAGTACTGTACATGTACATGTCAGTCCTCAAACCGATAAAAGTATATACAGGGGCACCCAACGGTAATTTTCGGGAAAATATCTGTTCGGAAGACGATTTGAGATCTAGAATTTTCGGAGCATTTGTTGTAAAATTTCTTGCTTGCCTGCCTCTCCTAGGATTTTCGAACATCTACAAAATGGTATAATTACCCATTTTTAACGGATTTTGAGCCTAAAAAAGGCCACCTAGAATTTTCGGGAGCCTTTTCCTGGCTGAAATTTTCGAGAAGGTAAGTTTTTATCCCTATAATTTTCGAATCACTAAACTTTCAGCTAGGAAATCCGAACAGATGAAAAGTTTTTAGGGGATAAAAATATGCCTATATCTACCGTTTGAATACTAAAATACGTTCAACAATGCTATGTTAAGTGGTTTTGAACTATATCCTCGTTGGGTGCCCCTGTATATATTTGAAAGACTATATAAACCTTTATATAGACAGAAAACCGTTAACAGAAAAACCGATAAAACGGCCATAAATCGGCCCGTGGACCACGCAGGAAAGACGTAACACACATTTCAAGTAAGGTAAGCTGTTTTTTATTGAAGTCCTTTCATTTTCCTAGGTTACGGAAACGATAGGTTTTTTCCCCATACAAATCCTTATGAATCCTTTTGAACGTTAGGCAACAATGCCGATGCTCGCCGATGCTCATATTTCGAGCTTGGGCTAGCTGTGGTTATCTTACGTCGTACCCTTCACCACACAAAGGTCTGAAAAGTCTCACGACTTAAAAGACATAGGAAGTTTACAAATTTTAATGCGCCTCTTCCAGCAGTGTCGATGAATATTTACGAACTGGTCCTTGCAAAGGTCGAAAACTAACAAACAAACTAACATATATCAAACAAACAAACATGGCCTAATATGTGTCTAATCTGTTATTCTTCTTGGAAAGAAGAACATTTTTTTGGTTGATTGATTATACAATAGAGAGGAAAGGGTGACGTCACGTTACCATTGTAGAAAAATTTGTGGATCACATCAATAGAACGTTTTCACTCCCTTGGCCGGGATCTATGCAAATTTATTGAAACAAAAGAAAGCGCTTGCATATCGCTTGCATAAGAAAAGAATTCAACTCCTACAGGATTGTCTTGATACACTAAAATGGCCGTCATTTATTGTTTTGGAACACCAATATGGCCGCCGTGACGTCATGTGAAAACGCTCTTTTGGGAGATTTTAGCCTGCTCCAGGCGTTCAGATAGTGCGGAGCGGTGCGAAACAAAAAGGAGCGCGAAAAATAAAAGCGAGGTAGGAGGACCTCTCTCCTTAGTCTCCCTCTACTTTTCATCGCTTTCTTTACTTCGCACCGCTCTCCACAATCTGAACGCTTGGAACAGGGTAGGAGTTTCTTGCAACAACAAAAAACCAATAGGTTTAGACTAGCAAAAGAACAACTTTGCACTTGCATCACGCTTTTTTGTTTATTTCTTAGCCGTTGTTGAATGACTGCGACATGAAACTTCCTAAGTTCACTCGCCCGCTTTATCGAGTAGGTGACCACAACACAAAAATTTTCTTTTTCTAAACCTAGATACGGTCCTTTCCGATTCAACTCGGAAAAATTTCGCCAACATTTGACAAATTAAATGAGATCGATGAAGTTTGAACGGTGGGAATCCACTTTTTAAGTGACGTTTTGATTTGTTGTCATCCAGAAATTTTGCTACCATCGCAACGTGAGGTAACGACTTCTCCTCTCTGTTGTAAAACACTTAGGCCACGCCCACAATCCAGATATTTGTAACCGTATATATTTTTTTACACGAATCGACCTTCCTGCTCACCCAAACCGTTTCTTTTTTTTTAATCTGCTCTCCGAGTGGTTTATTAGAACCCTGTCCACACAAATCCAGTTAACAAATTATACATTTTCAAAAACGTTCGGATTCATGTGCATGGGGCCTTAGTAAACTGCTGTTCTGTTGGTGATAAACTAACAGTCATAATTGTTTTCTTGTATTGTTTACCCACAATCAGAGAGGATCAACAGTAACGAAACAAACGACATGAGTTTTCAATGGCTTTTATGTGCTCTACTTCCCTTGTAAGTAGCAAGTCACACTACAATAGAGTATGTTGCACATCAATTCTCTGGGTAGCATACGTTTATACCAGTTTCGCATTTTTTTTTTTTAAAGTAACGACAACCATCCAAAGCAACTCTCCCTTCTTCAAAATGTTGGCATCCATTTAAGAGAAGTCATTAACATATGAAATATTTACATGAATGTTGAAGCCTGTGATAAAGTATAAAACGCTGTCTTGCAGGAATTGTACATACAAGGTTGCCACAGCCATAACCTTGAAGAATTTTTCCCCTGACCATTTCCTGACCTGTGGCAGCCATGACATACATGTAGAAGAGATGTGGGTTTATTATGCTGCAATGTTTAACTGTTTGTAACACACAGGCTCCTTGAACAGTCATTTGTTTTGTCTAATTTTCCAGAAATGACACATAATCTGTCAATAAGGCAAGCTCCTGTTCGCTTGTGAGGGGAATCTCTTTCTTAGGAAGTTCTGAAAAACATAGCAAAAAGAAAGACAGTTTATATTGTTTACTAATGGTGCCACGATGTGTGTTAAAACTGAAAATAAAAGATTAAAGGAGTACATGTTGGAAGGGCAAATAAATTATTCAACTGAACTTGGATCTGAGCATATAACCTGGTTGTACTTGGGGCAAGATAAGACAGTGTGCTGGACAAAGTCGACAAATTACCATGTAAAATAAATCGAGGTGACTCGACCTAGCGAGGCAAAGTGTTCTTCACGATGACACTGTTGCACACAGCTTGGTTCTTTGGGAGCCTTGAGAGGGTAGAGCTGTCAGTGGCAGTCAAAAGTAAACATACATAGAGCAACTTTGACAAAACACACTGGCCTACAATTGGCACCAAAATTGTTGAGACACCATCCTCTAGCAGTCTAGCACAAGCTTGCTTGGGGGAGGGCAGCTGTGGGGAAGAGAAAGCTTCATTTTCCCCTTTTGAAGTTGGGAAAAGTCACAAAGTTCCTTAAAGGGCAGTGCCTCAACTAATTTTGTTGTTGTTGTTTACATTCCGCAAATGAGATTAAAGCAAGAATGCTACATAGACCATCCCATCAGGTTATCACCATTGAAGTATTCCTAAGGAGACTCAACCTGATACTGATTTTCAGGTGGAGAAAAAACCATAATGTTCGTTAAATTGAATCCAGGTTGGATAAAGTTAGCACTGAAATTCAAGGACTTTCCAGCACTGAGTGCAATTTTTAATGACTTTCAAGGTGCATTTTCAAGGTGCATATGAACCCTGTATCTTCCTAAATCCAAAAAGCAGCTTTCAGGCCCAAGTTTAAGTTTTTCACTCTATGTTTTTCACTCTTTTATGTATTTTAGACATGACTGTTGTTGTCCACACTACCTGTCTTCTTGGGAGTGATCATTCCTGTCACAGAATCATTTGTCCATCCACTTGAGACAGCAGCTAAAATAAAATCAACAGCACTCATTTTTTTAAATACAGGAATTACCATAGTGATAGAGGGTTCAATATATCCTGGGCTGAAAATGGCAATGGAGGAAAAAAAAAGGTAAAATAATTAAAAATTACTCTTGTTTTTAAATGGTGTACTATTTCTTTTTGTTGAAGCAGCTGCAATAGTATAAAATGAAATCAAAACTGGAAAAAGAAGAAGAAACATACTAGGGCTTGAAATTTAACAGCCAGTCAATGGACAATTTCCGGTCAAAAAGAAGCTTTGTCCGGTAAAATCTTTGGATGACAGGAGACTTTGTCCAGTCCTTTATGCTTCTAACGGACCAAAAATTGAGTATTATAGAGATACATGCGTCGTAATAAATATAGTAACTGTCTGGCCAAAAACGTGTTTTGTCTGAGCAAAAATAGGTCCGACCGGACAACTTTACCAGTGCCAGCAGCAAAGTTATTTCAAGTCTTGTATACCATACATGAAATTTGTTCGTCTATAGGACACTGTTATCAAACTGATAATGAACTTACCACTAACAGCAGCCTCAGTTGACACCCCCATAAGAGAAGCTAGATCATCTGCTCTAATTGAAGTGTATGCATTTGAGACAAGATCAAAGACTCTCCTCTGAAGTTTCTCTAGATCATCCAAAATTGACAGCAACAATGTTAGAAGGCCATTTGCCACTTTCACCAGAAACAATTATTGTTTCTAAGATTGTAACTGGGGATGCGCAGGACAGCTACTGACCATTTCTCCCCTGGTCTTAGTAACAGTACCAGAAGTCTTTGCAAATGTTTACTCTGTCCACGTTCCTTTTTGTTTGAAATGGTACACATTTGTAAAAAAAAAGTCCTGATAAACTGCTAGACTGTCCTCCCAAATTATCTAGTATTAAATTTGCTTGTGATATAGAAGAATAATAACTTAACATTAAGTGTTAAATTAAGACTTAACAAAGACCTTATTGCACATACCCCTTCATTATTAACAATACAGTGGAACCTTTCGTTATGGTAAACCTCCATACACCTCTCTATTACAGACAGTTTTCTAGGATGCCAAATTTCACACAATCCCTACTTCTGTAATAAGGTCACATCTGTAAAAAAGTACAATTGGCTTTGTCCTTTTGGTGTCAGTATGTATCCTGCCACTCTTAGGTAAAGTTACGGCAAGGTTATGATAATTGTCACACTAACTTTGAAATCTGTGGATGAAGTTTTATATGTATAACCATTCAAATAAAACCCTCACTTGCTTGTTCATTGAATTTTTTGAGCAAATTTCTCCTAGGCCACTGTCAAGAGTGAGAGGGTTACAGAGGCTTGACAATGCAACTGTACAGTGAGGCCAAAATTCTCTATTTTTACCTTGCTTGTTATAAGTATAAGTCTCAAACATAATAAATGGTGGTCTTGTGAATTAAAAATTATTTCATACACGTAGTATCTATATTCTGCTTACACTGTATATAACGTACAGACCAAGGCCCGTGAAAGAGGATCAAGAGATTGTCCCAATATTGATATATTCCCCCACAGATTACCATCTTACAATCCCAAGACCATGGATAGCATACTAGGGGTGCTTCTCATGCCTCAGTGGATTTTTATGTCCCACTAAGTCAGACTGATTGACAGTACTATGAGAGTACTTACTACTGACTCTGAGTATCATTGAGTCACAGTACTACGGAAGTACTATGGACGTGCTATGAGACCTTATCTGACAAGGTCCAACCATTTGCAGACATGAAATGTGCAATTGAGTTCCTTAACATTTATCTGTTGGATAGTGATTTTTCCTGTGGATAGACTGCTACATTTATCCAACGTTTGAACAATTCAGCTCTAAAGTATGGTTCTATAAAACTGAGCAACGTCTTTGCAAGTGTTCTCTCAACAAATACACGTAAATAATGAATTTGGATGGTATGCCATCAGGGCTGACAATGAGTAAGCTATTATTTTTTTAAGTACAAATAATCCTTTTATAGTATTTTTTTATACAAAAACATGGAAGAGTAAAGTAATAGCAATTAAACTGTCAATGTGAAACTTAATACATCTTGTACTGTTGAACCTCTGTTAAGCGACCAGCCTCAGGGTACAGGCAACTGACTGCTTAATGGCAGTTGGCTGCTCAATAGAGGCTTGTCATAAAGCAGCATAATCTTTAGCAAAAAAATCACTTTATTTTGATACAAACATGTGACGGAAGAAATATTACTGGTCCACAATCAGTCATCACCTTCTATCTGGAACTGTATTTTTTTTCATCACATTCCTAAAATGAAGCCAACCTAAGTGTATCAAACACTTGATGTTGCTTAATAGAGGTGACAACAATGGGAGAACTCTCATTAAGATGGGCCACCAAAAAGTGGCTGCAGTCACCAAATAGAGGTTTAAGTTTCCATTCTTTTCTACAATAATTATTTCATGCCTTTAATTATTGGCCACTTATCAATGCTTAATAGAGGGTGGCTACTCAATAGGTGGCTGCATGCTTAATGGAGTTTCAACTGTACATTTACTCTGAAGATACAAATCCCTTTTAACAGGACATGTACCAGTATCTTACCTTGCAGTGCTGTAATTATTGGCTTTATCAGTGGTGACCATTCTTCTTTAAGAGCACCATAGATTGAAGGGAAGTCTCTTTTCCACATATGACATCCAATATTCCAAAGTTTTCCAAGTTCAGGTGTTGACTTAAGAAGTAAAGTAGAAGAAAACTAGCTTTAACTAAATGCAAAGAGGTTATGCTCAAAATTGAGATTTTTGTTTCCCCTTGATCCTGATATTTTGTCTGCAGAGCTTTCAAACTACAGCAGATGCCCAAATACTCAATTGACCATTTGTTCAAAATGTGGATAGCACTATCCACTAGATAAAATAATTATTAATCTCAATCCAGAGGATAACATGCTCAGTTTCCTTATCTGCCCTGGATGCCTTATCTGCTCGATGCCTTATCTGCTGGATGCCCAATAGGGATAGGCATTGTGGGTACAATCAATTCACAGGTTAGACCAGTATTTAACAGGTTAGGGATGGATTTTTCCCGGAGTTCTTACCCTGGTAACCAGAGGTTTAACAGATCAGTCTCACAACTGTATGTCCAACATGAGCTGTCCTCCCGTACCCCATTCCACAAAACCTTCAGAATATACAATCTAGGGTTGGTCACTTCCAGAGATATTTACATCATTACCTAATGGCTTACATCCCACGGAAGCCAGATTAGAGAAAGAGATGTAAGATAGGGCCTTTGTTATTTCATCCTCATCCAAGAATACTAGAAAGTCTGAGCATTTGCATTCTGAGAAAAGACAGCACTTTCCTGTTAGTTATGCATCTGTCAATTCCATCTGCGCCCTGACCCCCGGGAATTAGCATTTTTTTTTGCCTTGGATGGCAAATTGCTGGGGGTGGGGACTCTTGAGCTGTCAAATCCCCTGGGGTGGGGACGAAAAAAGAGGGCAAATGCGCCCTCCTCCGTCAGGACTGCAACATTTTTCATTGATCGCACAGTCAAATAGTGCCATTTTAAGCATTTTAACGTGCGATTTTTTGTTTCAATGAACGTCTAAATATGAAAGGATGTTCTTCAAATAATATCAAGGGAAATTTGATTCAATAACCAAAAAACATTGATTCACATTGATAGCTCCAATTTCGCTGCGTAATTCTGTTTCTTTTCAACTGTCAGCGAAAGAACAAAAAATAATTTATGCAAATTTATACCTGAACAAGATTATCGATGGCGATTCACAGACGTCTACTTTCCCGATTTTTCCTGAGGGAGGGGAGACGTCTGTACACAGGCCAACCTATTGGCAGTTAAAATGAACCTTGGTTTTGTATGATGAACCCTTTACTCACCACTTTGATCTCCTCAGGAGTTCTTTTCCATAAAAACTTAGCATTGCACCTAAAAAAGAAACCTTTAGAATCAGCGTATTTCACAGATTCTAGATTCTGTTTCCGGATTTCATGTTTAGGGTTACAGGGGTTTTCAGCGACACTGTTGAAAGGCAGGGTATTCTAGTTACTCACTAATTCTGGTATACTCACGTATCATTCTGAAAAAGATAGACTGCTAATAGCTGTGAATAAACTTCTCCTGAAGCATTACCCTGAAATAACCAGGAGGCAGACAGTTAAGAACTGCAATATCAAAAGTTATAAAAACAAGAACAGTTTTAAGCTTGTATTATATTGCAGTATATTGTAATGTACTGTCAGAGTGAAACCAAAGCTAAAATTAATCAATGGATCATGATTTTTGAAAAAGGAATACGTGAGGAAAAACAAGAAAGAATGTATCATTTTCACTGATAAGAAATCTACACTTCACTTACATCCAATTCCATCTGCTCACAGGTTGAACAAAGGTCATCGAAGTTTATGTCTTCAGTAATGTCCGCCATTTTGGATCGTCTGGTAGGTAAGTACTTCAAATATGATTTATTATAGGAATCATATATGAAGCATTACCGTCTAGTAGTGGGTGGCAGCTGGCGTGAAAGCGCGAGCTCAATCTGCATGCAAGCCTTCTCCGAACGTTGACAATCCGAAGGCACGAGGAGGCACGAAGATTTGAACGAAAATCGACAAGAGAGGGTCTATGATAAGCAGTAGGAAATGAACCGCTCCATTACTCGTTTGAGTGGGATAGCAAGCACACTTACTCGAGGTTTCCGCTCTACAGCGTTCGTAGCAATGCCGATCAAGGTAAGATCGTTTGCTATATTGGTATATCCCCAGTTTCTTTCAAATGCAAGTATTGGGGCTGCACAGAACTTCTTCACGGTACACACGATGCGTGAAAGGTGAATACTGTAATGACCAGAGTGAACTATCAAGACCGCATGTGCAGTCACGGAAGAAGTTTATTTCAGTATCACAGGGGCCCTTTTGCGAAGTAACGTTTGATGCTTTTAAGCACAAGGCATCATTAATTCTGACAGCTGTAGAATCCTTGATCAATACCCTCCAAAATTTATTTCAGATCAATAACGTGAACATGAACATGTGCTGGCTCAAATTTTAAGATGTGGGTCCATAATTATGCTGTTTCATGACTAAGGCATTTTCAGGCTACTTCATTTAATATGCACGCTCCCCAGAATTTGATACTGTTCGATATTAAAATGTAATTTATATGTTGAGTTGAAATGCAGAAAATAGAAGATTATATCGTTATACTTTTTGTTTGTGAACATTGTGTTCAGGGGTTTCATTAAGAATTGCAGAAGCGGGAGAATAGTGTGTAACAGGAGAATATTTTGAAAGAGCGAAGCTTTTTCCCGGAAAGAGCTTGAAAACGAGCCTGGAAATTTTGCGTTTTAGACCCTGCTGAGATGGCCTTTCCTATTGTCTGATAGCAAATGTTATTTCTCATAGCTGTGGAACAAAAAACACTACATACTTCTAGACGGTTTCAAAACACTTTTTCTTCGAATTAGGCCATCCCCACCTTTTTTTTAGTTTAGTGTCGAATGCGTTTCCTGATATTGGGTCGGTCGGTCGGAATGAAAAAAAAAAACCTTAAAAAAAAAATCACAAGAAGTCTCGGAATAGGAGGCCCTGGTACTTCAGGATGACGTTGAAAGTTAACATTTATATTTGGATTAACAAAATGCATAATATACTGTAAAAAATGTTGGTGTTTTTGTTCCAGTTTTTCTCAATGCTGTTACTATGCTCATTTTTCAGATTAAAAGAATTATTTCAAGTGAAAAATGGTTTAACTACATCGTTACTTCTTTTTTTTTTCGAAAATGCCAAAAATTTGGGTCGGTCGGACCACACTAAACGGAGAAAAAAAAGAGGATGGCCTTAACAGGCATATATTGTTAAATTATGAGCGACTTCTAACCCTGTTACACACTCCTAGAGTTGTGACATGTGGCTTTATCTTATTAAATACCAAACATACCTAAGAGTGAAAATAAAATTATTCTCAATGCGTTTTAACTTCAATTCAATATTTTTAGGAATGTTTTCAATAGTGAAAGCACGAGACATGAGAAACTCTTCCCACCTCTACGGGGGGTGACAACTCTAACAAAGGCTGTTTGGGCAGTCCTATGAATAACGTAATGTCCTCCCGGAAATTTCGTCGACCCTCCCGAATTTTTCGGTGGCATTCCCCATAAATGTTTAACTTCCCAAAATTGTTTTAACAATTAAAATTAAAATTTTGATTAGCAGCTTCTTGTTAATTATGTAACTTGTTAATTATCTAAACTTAGTTATTTTTTCGTTAGAGGGTATCATGTTAACACAGAAAGGCTGTCAAACTTTTTAAGTATATAAAATCGTGTTTTTTTTGTTTTTTAATCACCGATGAATCAGGCGAGCGCTGAAGGGGCCAACCACTAGGGGGGTCTGGGGGCATGCTCCCCCAGCCGAAATTTTGAAATCTTGGTGCTCTGAAACGCCATTTCTAGTGTTCTGAGAGGACAAATTCTGTCCAAAATATTCTCTAAATCAATTGCCCTTTTTATGCTTATTTTTATTGGCGTGACCTCGCGTAGAAGTAGTCGATATAATTATTTTATACAAGTTGTGCGGTTTTTGAAATTGCTCTGGAAATCACTTTCAGCTAAGTATACTCTGTGTGGTGTCATTGTCTGAGTATCATAAGAATTCACTTGAAAATTTCAGAACAACTGTCGAAATCTGGAATTTTCCTATCCCGAACGCATATCGATCGGGATTCGGGATTTTCGAGCAAAATCGGAAGGTCCCCAACGAGATCAGGATGATTAAAGAGTCTTCACAGACATACTACTTTTTATGGCCTCATGTCCGTTTAACAAAGTTAAATGAGTTTCGTTTTTTTCTTACGTACTTCTAACATACTTTTTCAAGTTTTCCAGTATGCAATCAGTGGAATGTGCTCTTAAAACTCATTATTAACATGCAGCTTAAAAATACCCCTGAACTAATGTATGATGGAATCTGGTGTGAATTGATAGTATCTGCCTTGCATCGGTATGGTTCTTGTGTCAATCCGCTGGGGATTGCACGTGGTCAATCGCACTCGAACTTCATGCTATTTTAGTTGGAAACGTTTTTGATTGGTCTTTTCATATCATGGGGAGTTAAGCCGTTTTCAAGTGTCAAAATACATAGAATACAGCGTATCGGCACAGGGTGCATGTCACTGTATACATATTGTTTGATAACATGTAATATCAAATCTTTGTTCAATGTCCCGAAAATACCTCATATTTCCCGAAAAATTTCCCAGGTTTCCCGATTCCCTGCAAAATCTCCAGATTCCCGGAATAAATTTGTTTTTCTCCCGAAACAGCCCTTGTTAGAGCTGTCAACCCCCGTCACCTCTGTTGGTGACACATGTGCTTGCGCTAGACGGAAAACAACATTAAACAAATTTGCTTGCAGCACAAAACTTTGCTTGTCTGGTTTAATCAAAGGCAACCCAGACGTAGTATGTGTCACTGAATGAATATATTAATTAGGACAAGTTGTTGAAACTCCCATGAACTAAAATACGGTTGTCCAAAAGTCAAAAGATATCAAAACAAAGCTAAGATACCTTTAACTGAACGTGTCCTTGTCTTTCCTGGCGGATTAAAGTGGCATTTTGTTGAGTTTTTGCAATTGTAGGTACTATCCACTAAAGAAGAATTAAAGGCTGGCTACAAAACAAACGGACCATCTCCATGTGCCATCACATGAAGCGCTATAAATTCGAGAATAATCGACGAATCCGCTCCAAATTCCCATCGGCTAATCTGCAGCTAACTGTGTGTGTGCTCCGGTTTCCTGCTCACTTGCTCCACAAAACCCATCGCAACTGCACAATAATTGCTCGCTCATCAACAAACAAACGCCTCGATATGACCGCAAACTACCAGGTTTAATACGCGACATGAATATTCAAGCTTAGCGAGGAAATGTGGTACGTGTTTTTATTCACTTTTTCCACTGCTGCTTATTTCTTTTAGCTCTGCTATAAAATTCGTATCTGTTCGGTGATCCTAGGGCAAATTAGACCTCTTTGAAAGTTACAAGGGCTTCAATATTATTTTCCTGATTGATTGACCTAGAAGCAATGGTACCATCCCTCCCATAGCTAGTGCTTCATTGTCTCGTGGATGCAGTCGCTAATCTTGAATATTCACATCGCGTATTAAACCTAGTAATTTGCGGTCGTATTGAAGCATAAAGGTCAACAGTGTTTGCAGTGCAGCTGATAAGTTACTTGTTTTCAATTAATGATCACAGGCTCAAGTTTATTGGTTTAAAAATTCATACGAAATATGTTGTGTTTATGTCACTACGGCCCCGCACTATTAAGATTTTGATTTCAAACTAACCTCGGACATAAAAATTCCGCCAGTTGTTTAGAAATACAGGCGGGAAAGACCTTTTCTTACCAAGGTCACTCTTTGGTCACGTTTTGCGTACAATTTTTATGCTTTGCTCGGTCAAAATTAGACATGTGAGTTCATGCAGAAAATTTATGCAGCATCTTGAAACTTGTTTACTTTGACAGCTGAAGCTGACAGAGTTTTGTGTCAACTTGTGTTGTTTTTAACTGTCTTTTTCCACTGGACGTACAAAATGAAATACAGCTGCTGTCAAGAGTCTTCTGTTATTCATATTTGTTTTTTGATTTCTGGTTGAGATGTTTTGCTTCTCAAAGTCGGAAATGCGTTTTGGTTGGCATCGTTTTCGTTTTTCACCTTGCTTGATGCGTAAGAGGGTTCAAAAGTCTCAAGTGATTCTGGCCTTACTTGAAGGCTTTCAGGAGCTGCATCTCGAATGGTAAGCCTGAGTAATTATTGTATTTGATGTTTGCTTTTTTATATCTAATTTCATGAAGTCGAGCACAGTTTATGCGGCAAGTTTATGCACATTTTTAAGATTTGAGACAATGATCTGACATAGTATCAGGTCGGAACAGAACTTTAAAAAGCCTTTAGATATATTTTCTAGAAAGAAAACGTTCCGAAGAATATTTACGTGTAGTTATAAATTTGGCTGTAGAAAGAAAACTTCTTGCCTTGAGTTCATCTTTGAAAAAGCAAACACTGGGAGGTGGGCTTAAAAACATAGACTTACGCTTTAAGACTCAGGAATTTTAGAAAAACTTAAATACTTGTCCTCGTGAATGAAAATAGTTGTCTCTGTAAATGTTTCACTGAATTATGTTTCTTTTATTGATTGTTAGCAGTCTCTCTTGCAATTTTAATCACTGTGCCGTTTGTTTTCAGTCGTTCATGAACATCGTCTGCAGGAGTACTCAAAATGCTGTGCGTATCAAATGCTTTTTAAGATTACACATCGTTATAAAACCATTAAATATTAAAAAAACTTAATATTATGTTGAAACGTTAAAATCTATTAATGTTCACAAGAGTGAGAACCGGCTGGCCGTCTAGGTGACTAATTTTGGTTTCACGAAAAGCCCATGATTGATCTTCCTGAATATTGACTGAGTGCAATTTGTCTTGAAAAACTGTGAAATACTGCATTCTGTCTGAGGTCTGTATGACAAATAGCACTGTTTCACCTCAAATGTGATGTATTAAAAGTATAAAAGGTTGTTTTATACACTCCCAGATTTGTTGGCAAGATTTTGTATTAAACTTGTCAAAAGCAAAAAATTCAGCCTGATTTGTTTTGCAGGCCTAATCTACTGTGATCAAGAGCCATTATGGCTCTTGAATGTGATTGAAGGGGATTGCTACAATGTATTTTTTGGGTGTACATATAACTAGGCTATCAACTCGATGTAAGATGTTTTACTCTAAAATCACTCAGCCTTTTCCTCTAAAGTCACATGAATGTACCCTTAAGTTAACTGATTTGTGGTTTACAAGTTTGTTGTTTGATTTAAACCAGGGCTCAAAGTTTAAATTTGAGTTTGGGAGCACTTGTGCTACCAGATGTAAATTTTTAGGCGCACTGCCGAAATTTTAGGCGCACAGCTGAAAATTTTAGGAGCACAGCTTATAATGTTGGGAGCATCGATTTCAAAGAAAAGTAAAAAGCTGAACAGTGCCACGTTTATTTGTCATCTTCAGTTTGTTACTTTTACTTCAGTCCCATGATTGACAAAACACAGCCAATTTGCTATGCAGTAATACCGTTGTGATTTTTAATACTAATTTCTCTTTTTAACAGTACAGTTGTGACAAAAGAAAACTTACACTTGAAAAACAATTCAAAACTGACAACAATGAGTGTGTCGAACAAGAATGAAAATTAATCTTTAATGAATTTGTTAAATGCGCAATGACTTACATGTAACTGGAATACGACTTAAAAACTTTCTTACCTGGAAAAAAAGGCTCTTAATCCGCAATGTTTTTGTTTTGATTGATGTTAAAACTGAACGTTCGTAGCATATATTTGCATGTGCCAGTGGTGTTTATTACAAAACAGAAGAGTCTGGGATGGAGTAAAACATCGAAACGAAGAACATTTGAGTTCGTAGAATCCATTGGGAGAAAAGACCAATTAAACATTCACCGTCTTTCTAGTTCGAGTTCGTAAGTATAGTTGGAAGTAAGTCAGTCGCACTGTGCTTTGGGTTTTACGGCGCACAGGTGCGATTACACATGAATTTTTAGGCGCGCAACCAAAAATCCAGTCGCATATGCGACCAGTTAGTCACTAACTTTGAGCCCTGTAAACCATAAGTTTATTAATGGCAGCTTCGCTTTTAGCCCTGGCTAAATCTATACATTAGTAATCTGATACTCTGTCATTCATATACGGTAAACATCGCCAAATTTATTTCCATAGCAGGTCACAAAGAAATCGTTCTTTTTATTCATAAAGGTACTTGATTCTTATCGCTTAAACTTTTTTTTGTCATAACTTTGCTACTATGATTTGTTCATCATGTGCTTTATTTTGTTTCACGCTTTGTTACATTGGTTTTTATTTGTTTAATAATTTTTCGCGTGCAAATAAAAAAGTGTCAAGCATACAGTCAACTCTCCATGCCTCAGCAAACTGTCAAATATTTTACACATGCCCTGTTAGTTTTGTTGGTCTTAAAACTGCTAGCATTTAAATGAGATCTGTTATGTATTATTGTTATTTATTTAGGAATGTAAAGCAAGTGGCTAAGCGCTAAAATTACGCATTTTTGACAATAATGTTCTTTCACATTAACATAACGTATCCACGTCTGATTCGTCTGAATAAAAAATAGCCATACTTCATTGAAATTGAACTGGAGAATTATGCATAGTAGGCAGAGAATTCTCCAATCTGCGATGTTTAATGAAACCCATGGCAGGATTTTCATTGAGAATTCTAGTAGCAGGAGAAAGATGTAACGTCACAGGATAATACGGTATTTTATTTTGAAAGAGACTCCACATCTGAATAAAAATAGTCATAGGCCACTGAACGTTAGCTGGAGAATTCAGTGTAGTAGATGGAGAGTTCTCCAATCTCTGATGCCTAATAAACATCCTGAAAAGGTCTTAATTTTCTGGGTTATAGCTTTTCCAGAACTGAAGTCTTAGGTCATAGGTCTTTGGTCTTTAATAGTTTTCCGTACAACCGGGGAGGATACAAATGTATGTGAGGTTGGTGCTAAAAAGAAAGTCGTCTATGATATAACAGGTTGGTGATAAGCTGCCATCTGTTCAAGTCATGGAGGGAACTCCAAATGGCAAAGTCAACATTGCAGAATTGTTTGCTGGTAAGAAAGGAGTTCTGTTTGCTGTGCCAGGAGCCTTTACTCCAGGCTGCTCAAAGGTTTGTTGAAAGTTATTATAAAATGTGATTATGTTTTGTTTAGCAGAATTCAGCATTAGCCAGAAAAACATTCTTATCAAGGCATTGCTAGAAGGAAAATTAGAAAGACTTTTCCATACTTACGTGTAGAATAGAGCAAAAAAAAAATAAGAAGGGAGCGGGTGCGTTGTGGAAAGTTGTTTCTTGTTTCAAAAGGCTAACTTACCTATTTTTATCCATAATCGTAGAAGTTAATAAGTTAAAAACGAGCAGTTAGCAGACCGATGAACCCCCATTATGGGCGTCTGGAATTATGTTTTATCAAAGCTCATACTTTTTCAGAAATGGTTTCTGATTAAAAACATTAATTTTTTTACTTTCTTGACCGTTTCCTTTGATTGAGAAAAAAACAAAAAAAGGTAATCTATTGTGAATGGAATGAATTTAAATTTATTTGTTCTTTGTCTTAAAAACAGACCCATCTGCCTGGATATGTAGATGATTTTGACAAATTTAAGGCAAGTAATGACAGTATGAACTTATTTGTTTTTTGATCCTGTAGTGTATTTGATTATGTTCAAAGGTGTCATGCATATGTATCCCAAATAAAAAATTATTGTACACTGTACTCACTATCTGTCTTCTTATTGGCTCAGAAGAGCCTTACAGTTAATTTTGGAAATCGGTGCAACCTACAGAGTACACTGTTGTTAGTTATCTGCTAGCAGATAACTAACTAATGTGCAATTCTGTAGATTCTGTGTGCAATGCAGGATTTCTTCTTGTAAGAGAAACGTAAAAGTGTGCGCTGTGTTATGGTGCATTATGTTGTTGTAATTTTCTACAAAACATAATTTATATAATAAAACATTATTATAAAATTCGGTTTTTGTGATCTGCAGAATAATCAGTGTCTTGCTTAATTGTTTCAAAAAACCTTATCCAATAATTGAATGTTTATATCTTTGTTTTGCAGGCCAAGGGAGTAGAAGTTCTTGCTTGCGTTTCTGTCAATGATCCTTTTGTAATGGCAGCATGGGGAGAGGCGCACAAGTGTGAAGGCAAGGTTTGTGTTTAGTAAAGCTTATATTGAAAGGTTACAATACTGTACCCCATATACAGTGCACACTACTTGCAAAAAAGCTTTCAAATGATGTATACTTTGAAAAAAAATCATACTGAAAATATAATCCTCCAATAATATTTTTAGTCATCCAAAAATGCAATGGAGTAAACTCAATCGACTGGAAATTTTTTTAGTACGCTGTAAAACTTTAAAGTACATTTTTCGAAGATGCCTTTTTGTATAGATTATAGGTCAAAATTAAATTCAGGTTGAAATTTTTTCCTTTGTCTCCTATCCCTAAGTATTCATGAATTAGGGCCATAGGTAACCCAGGCTCTGTGATGCTACCACAGTATGGTCCCAGTAAAATTACAGTATTATTTTGAATGGGGTAAAAATTACGTCCTAAAATTTGTAGGAAATATTAAATAAAGGTCAATGGAACTTACTCTGCAGTTAGTTGTTGTTGTGCTTAAAGCTGAACTGAAGTTTCCTGATAATTTCCTCAAATTCACCCTCCATACTAGGTAGGAGGCACGAGATGGCATCTCAGCCGCCCTGCTCCCTTTCCAACGCAATTTTTTTTCACAAAATTCAAACTCCAACAATAAATAAACAGCTAGGATTGTAGAGGTAGGATAGCATCAGATGTAGAAAGCAATGAAGCTTTCCCAAAATAAATCCAGCAGACTTTGGCAAACTTGAAGGGTATAATCCAAAAAGGCCTAAACTACTTGCACCAAAGTGAACAATAGCCCCTGAGAAAATGTATTTCCAGCAGGGGAGGCTAACTTTTGGGCAAGTTATGTATCAGTTCCTAGAAAGGTCACCCCAGGACACCCAGGATGGATTTGGTTTGTACAGTGCCCAGGCCTCATTTGCTTGGCTGCATGTTGATCTGGTCCAGCCACTTCTGCGCAAGTGATTTCAGCCTTTTTGGATTATATCCTTCAAGTTTGTCAAAGTACTGCTGGATTCATTTCTCTAGCTGGGAAAGCTTCATTGGTTTCTATATCTGATGCTATCCTATAAATTTTTTTATGATTCTAGCATGTTTACCGTATTTACCGTTGGGGTTCGAATTTCGTGGAAAAAGTTGTGTTGGAAAGGGAGCATAGTGGCCAAGATGCCATATTGTGTCTCCTACCTTGTGTATTATGATATTGTGTGGAGGGTGGATTTGAGAAAATTATGACGAAACTTCGTTTGAGCATGAAGGACAACAACAACAACCAACTGCAGAGTAAGTTCCATTTGGCTTTTATCTAGTATTTCCCTCAAATTTTAGGATTGTATTTTTACCCCATACAAACACTGTCATTTTACTGGAACCGTACTGTGGTACTATCACAGAGCCTGGCCAGGCTGCTTGTTATTAGGACTAGGAGACAAAGGAAATTGAGAATCAACCTAGTTTAATATTATTTAACCTGAATTTAATTTTGACTTGTAACATATATATGATAAACTCTACAGACCAGAAATATGACCCTAAAATAAATTGTCATTTTTTTTCTTCAGAAGAATGAGTTCTCCCCAAAAAGTTCTTTAAGACAAGTTTGTAAAGTCTATCCTTTTCACAGACCCTCTATTATTACTATTATTATTATTATTATTATTGTCAAGCATGCATTTGAAAATAAACACAGCAGGGAATTTATTGACCACTAGTGCAAGGAGAAAATCACAGACCCTCTGTTTTCTCTCCAGAGATCATCGAGCGCACGTATGTAAATAAAAACCACAGGGAATTTGCGTGCTCGTTGATTTTTGAATAGGAAAAGAAAACAACGTCTGCATACAGGCTAGTATTTTAACCAACAAAATCTTTGGAGCAGAAAATTGTCAAACCTTGCAGAGGTCTTTATATTACTCCCTGCAACAACAAAAGTACCATGATACTTTGGGCTTTGGGCAAAGCATTCGTCTTGAAAGTGGTGTCTCTTTTGTAGCAGCTTGTTATTAGATAGAGGCTATAATTTCTATCTGGCTTGCTTTTTTTTGTGTTAGATACGCATGTTGGCTGACACAGCAGGTGAATTTACAAAGGTATGTGTTGCTTTTCAAATGCTTATAAATTATTCCGATGCTCAACCTAATTCGAGGATCATTTCAACTTTCAAATCAAATTTTGATAATGTGCCATTAATTCAAGATAAAGAAATCCTTTCTTTTTATAAATATTTTTTGATAAAATTGCCATCTAAAATATACCAGTTCACTGAATTTTTGAAAAATTCTATTGTTTATTTTATAGCTTCTGAGTTGAATTTCACAGGAGAGGGGCTGAGAGATTTAGGACTCATTTTCCCACACCCTTGCTGCTAAAAACCTGTTCAGATGGTGTAGTTCCAGAAAATATCCATACAAATCCCCCCCCCCCCCCCAGAGGGCACTTTTGCTTTAGACCCCCATCCCTCCGGAACTTCCATTCCCGGGGGTGCTTGTCATACCCCCAATTTCCGTCATTTTTCAACTTGATTGGGTAGCCTGTGGAAAGAATATTTGTGTCAAAAATGTTGTTGCACTATATTATTTTGCGAACTTATTTTTTTCTGCAATAAAATGAGAAAAAATCTTTTCATTCATGTTAATACGGTGTCTAATAATCTCAAGGACGTTCTTAGTTGATACAAACCATAGAGGTTATACCTTGCACTACTTTCTACACGAATAATGTCATCTGCAATAGAACCAGTTACATTCAAACTAAACACCACGTGAACTTTCATTACTTCATTTCAGTTAGAACATGTCACAATAAAGATGATCAATGCAAATTATGATACTTTTTTTGAAACATTGGTAACAGTAAAATAACTGATAGCTTGCTCAACAGAGAAGCTGCTATTTATTAATAACTCACCAATCTTACTCAGACCCCCTGGAAAAAACCTCTGTAAGCAAGCCCCCAGCCCCTCGGAAATTGCCTCCTTTTGGACTCTCCCTCCTCTCGGAATTTCCGTCGCCCTCCTTTGGGGGGGGGGGGGCGGTGGGGTATGGATATTTTCTCGACCTACACATTGAATTTTGTTTTTGATAATAGCCGTGCCTAAAATCAGGGAAATCTAAATATCTGTTTCAGGCGGTTGACCTGGAGCTTGACGCGACACCATTCCTGGGCAATGTGCGATCCAAGCGTTACTCTATGCTGATTGAAGACGGAGTAGTTAAAGAGCTTCAGCTGGAACCAGATGGCACAGGATTGAGCTGCAGTCTGGCCAACAATCTGCTTAGTCTGCTATAGGTGTGTAGACATCCTAAATCGTTATTACAGGGCTTGAAATACATGTAACTAACCGGTCAAAACTTAACGACTGTACACTGGTTACCGTAAGTAAACACAACCACTACAACAAGAATGAACTGACGGACAGAGAAGACGTTAGAAACAAACAATAAATACTTTACGAACAAACTGTGGTATGGAGACGTATGATTATGTGAAAAAGGCGCACAGTGATAACGTTCGAACTAGTTGCCATATAAAAAAGAGTAATCGAGTAAAACTGTACGGAAAAGTGTTCAAAAGGCAAGCACCGCGCGGAGTGTTGAAAAGCTTACCAGTAGTTTCGATACAAAGTCGTTTTGATCGCCGGTTTTACACAAACTTATCCGGGGGGTGTACTCAAACTCCTTTATATTGCCTATACGGTTATGTGCCGCTGGACAGGGTGTGGTTTTTGACTTCTGTGTCATACACAGGGTATATAATTTCGTGCGAATTTAATTATAAACAGGGTAAATGTTGCGCGGCTGCCTGAAATGCACGCTTGCCCAGAGTTTCTAGCATCTTATCCTTCAACACCTCTAATAAGATGCCCGAATTGGGTCTAAGACAATAGGAGGACTTGCATGTAATGGTTAGAAGATTACCGATACCATATTTACTCAGGTGCGAGACCATGAATGGCTTTTAAAGCTAATCATAGAATCTTAAAATGTATGAACGCCTCCACCGGTAGCCAGTGTAATTCATAAAGTACAGGAAAGATTGAGGAAAACTCCGTGGTACCCCTTACTAGTCTAGCGGCAGCGTTTTGCACGCCTTGCAACTTAGCTTTTTGTTCTTTAGGGAGGCCCTATTAGCAAGCCATTGCAGTAATCTAACCTGCTCGTGGTGAATGCGTGCACGAGAGTACTTAAGCTGTCACTCGATAAATACCTCCTTATGTGTCTAATATTATGCCAGTCAATGTAGCAGCTTAGATTTTAACTTGCGAGGCAGGTTTTATCTCTGAGCTACCTACTTAAATGTTCACAGCCGGCAATGGGCAAAGTTACTGCGGAGTTCCAATTACCATAAACTCGGTATTATCTTCATTAACAAGGAGTCTGTCCTGGATCAGCCATCGCCTGATCTTCTCAATGCAACATTCCATCACTCGAATTGCACCCTGGGATATGCTGCTGTTAGGCTTAAAACTCAGATAAATCTGTGTGTTGTCCGCCTAGCAGTGCTTTTTTGGAAGCTGAGCCTCAACCACCATATCGTCGATGCATAGAAGTTAAATAGAAGGGGGCCCAGACATGACATTTGTGGAACACCACAGTCCAAACTAAAGCACTCTGAGAGAGATCCGTTGATGGACACTCGCTGGCCTCTGTTGGTCAAGTATGATGTGAACCATTCCAAGGCAACCCCGCATGTCCCAATCTCCTCATTCAGACGTGTCAGCAGGGTGTTGAGATTGACTGTTTCAAAAACAGCGTTGAGGTCAAGCATGACCAGCAAGGTCACCTCTTGAGAGTTTATTTTCCTGAGAGTATCATTCGTGACTTTGACAAGAGCCGTTTCGGTGCTATGATTTTGACGATATGATGACTGAAACTCGGGATGCAGTGAACGAGTTATGATGTGGTTGTGTATATGTTCAAACACCGCCTTCTCAGCCGGCATAGAGAGATAGTGAAAGTTACTGACAGGTCTGTAGTCTAGCTCAAGCTTCTTTAATAATACTCAATGAAGTCATGATAGAATGTGCATCGAGCTTCATTATCAAAGCGTTAGCATTGTTCTTTTTAGCTTTATACGCCAGCGTATCTTCCCTAGAGCCGGTGCGACGCCACTTCCTCTCGGCCTTTCGCTTATCCCGCCTTGCAGCCTTGATTTCCTCGTGGAACCAAGGGACAAGTGGCGTAGAGCGAATCACCTTCGTACGCAATGATGCTTGCCGGTCAAAAGCTTGAGCCAAGGTCATGTTGTAGCAAGTTCATCAAGTGTATCCGGGGTGCTATGACAGAGCTATGAAGACAATAATAAAATCGAGGGTGTTGTCCTGTATGTATTTTAGGATTTTTTTTGTCCTAAACGCTGTCAGGGTTTCAAACCCTCTGCGGCTTAGCTATACCCAGAAATTGATCGAGTACCCCCCGGGAAACTTATTAACAAAGTCGGAATCGTAGCGAAACGACTTGGTATCAAAACGACCGGTTTACATTAGAAAGACAGCAATTACCCGACATACGAACGACGAAATGAACGACTCAGTTAAATGGACGCATTTACATCGTGAGTATGCCATCAACTTCCAGAACGTATGATGTAACCAGAAGAAGATAAAAAGTGGCACAGGAAATAACCCCTATTAAGGATTGTTTTAAAATCTGCAACGCCGCTTTGAGAATGGGTTGCTGTTTAAATTAATAACATTAAGGGAAAAAATTTTGTTAATTCGTAGAAGGGCTTGGCAAAAATTGTAAATTTTGCAGCTTTCGCAAGGCACACGCGAAAAGTCCTGATTTCTGCTTTGCGTTTATTCCTGGACATAAGTAGTTTCAAACGAAAAGATAACTGTTGGTTGACAATATCACTTACATGCTTTGGAAAGCCGAATACACCTTTAAGCATTAATTGCTGCGGACATCAAAATGATTTTTTGAAGGTAAATTCTGCCCTCAGTTATCAAACAAAAAGTGTCGCTTTAACGTTGTTCTTCATGAGGCGAAAAAACAAGTCGACAATGCCGTGAATTTTGGCATAACTTCAGAATTTTGAGGTGGCCACATAAGTTTCTTTTTTGTTCTTAAGGAGACGTGTCAACATAGCACTGTTAACCTTCCTAACTTGATTTCCGTCTCGTTCTCACAGAAATCCTATTTTTAATATTTCATTTTCTTTGTTTCCTTTTAGAACTCGCTGATAAACGACAAACTGCAAGGGCAAAAACCGTAGGATTAAAAGATTTTGTGCGTTCGTTTTTAATATAAACCAAGCAGATTTTGCTGATGTAAAAAATAGTAAGAAAACGCCAAGACACTGCGACGACCAATCGGGAAAACTAGACATAACGTAATAAAAAACTACTGAACCTTAAGTTAGATTTCTTTGATGGTGTTATAGAGGGGTGAGGCTGATATTCGACATTCTCATGCTGTTAAGAGAATAGGTTGAGATGTGTAGACCCCACTGGGAACAATGGTCACAACATTCTCTCAACAGAAATGTTTTTTAATAGGTTCATTATCGGAGAAGAAAAAGCTTGTAATACCGTGCGTGTTCAAGTAAATATTCTCCCCCCCACTTCGCTACCTCCATGCTCCACGCCCTTTGACGCTTACCAATTTCGAGAGTTGGACTCAAACAGGTCCTGCATTTCAAGGACAAAAACTTGAATATAAAGTAGAGACAGCGTTGTGACAACTTGTATCCTCGTTTAAAGTTATGTTATACTAGCCTCCCACGTGGGAGTTCTTAGGGGAGCTCGTATATCGCTGATGAAAAAACTGGCCGTGACAGAGAGGTTATTTGCGCAGTTGGGGACGCCCTTTCAGGTGATGTTACATTGGACGATTCGCAACGATGATTTTTAGCGCAACACAGCGTTGCAATGTTGGATCAACTTTGTAATATTCGAAACAATGTCGCGACAATGTTGCAACGTTGTATTGCACTAAAAATCGTCGTCGCAAAGCGTCCCGGTTAACATCACCTTTAGTGGCCGTTTCTGTTGTAGAAAAGCTTAATCAAGAGTCAATGTATGGACTTTCCGCCGGGATAAAAAAAAGTGGCCAATGTAGAGAGGTGGCCGTTGTGGAGATGCGGCCGTTAGTGGAGGTTCGACTGTACGCGCCCAGCGCGCGTGAAAACCACTTCCCGCGAGGATGGTGACTCATTTCCTCTCACGCGAAGGTGGGTCATGGTCGTCGCGACCGCCGGGGGTGATTTTCACGAACTCTCTCGCTTTTCGGTATTTGCGCTCGTTTAAAATGACTATGACCGTGCTTAAGTGTGCAAAGTTTGTCATAGATTAATTGGCGACAATATTCAGAAGAATGTAGTAAAAGGCAGACTACTTTTCCCCTTATTTCGTTTATTCAACGCATGTGCCTTGTAGTATTAAGTAAACAAAAATAACAATTCTTCTTCCCCTCCCACTCCCACCAAAATAGAAGTTATTCTAGTTGTGTTCATTTACAGTCGAGTTGTATCAACAGGGTGCATAATAACTCTTCCCAAAAGATCTACTGAAATCAGAAGACTTTTTCACGTGTCTTGATTAATCTTCTCAGGAATAAGTAGCCGGTTTCTTGAAAGTCTCGATAATTTTACTGGCCCGAGGCCATATCATGGAATAAAAAAAGTACGGCTGCTAACTAATACTTTTATTGCACCACTTTTAAAACTATTATAACCTCGATCTTGAATGATTAACGAGCAAACATATTAAAAAAACTGTAAGGGCCCAGTATTTATAGGAACTTTCAAGAAACACACCGCTGGCCCAAGTTATTCTAAAGCGAATTTGCGTAAATCCAGGGTTAGCTGGGCGAGGCATCTTTAAGGAAATCTCCTACCACTCCCTAGCTAACTCCAAGTGGAAAGGCTAATTACATCACCTCTGTAGGCTTTGTGTATCTACTGTTCACTTGCTGTAAAGGGAATGAAAAACTTGCCGACATATTTTTTCCTTCTTTAACACTTAAGAAGATATTTTTTGATAAAAAATCATGTTACTGTCCTCACTCTTAAGAGCTATGAGGAAAAAAAAACAGTTCACCCGGGAACCTGATTTAACGTGTTAATGTCATAACTATAATTGTTGGTTACCTCTGCATAAATTTTAACAGCTGTTGTGTGTAATAAATTATGATTGAGGTTGCGACGTGAAGTCTATTTTATGCTTATAGTGCGATTCACGCGGTAGTTTTGTTACAGATGATTAAAATAGATATTCTTACTAGAAATTTGGACGATATACAGTGTTCTTTAAAACCGGGACACGCCTGGCGAAGGCGTCGCGTAAATCTAGCTAAATCTGATTCAGTTCCTGCACGCGAGTCACTCGTTGGCCTAAACGATGTACTGAAATGTTGTAAAAGGTACGTTTTGCTTAACGTATGAGCTAAAACCAAGCAAACCGAGATTCTTTATCGATAATTCTATACCTAGTGTTAAAACTATCTAATGGCCACGGTTGAGGTTATGTTTTTTGGCAGTCATAATATTATAAAGGAGTTTATTGCAAACATCAAGCACCCGATTTCCTGTTCATCAGTTAAATAAGATTTACAGATCTCCATTTTGACTGGTTTACGGATTGTCGAGATCGTACTTTTTTCTGAGTTGATCGGTCTTATTTGAGGGTGTACTGGGTTTTAATCTGATACTCTTCGGATGCTTCTTTGGAGGCTCGGAACCAGCGGGTTGCAGGGGTTCATACCCGGCAGCTCGCATACAGCAACATATCAACCATATTATCAGGTAAATAATTACCGGTATCAGAATAATGGCCAGTATGGGAAAGAGAACCCAGAACAGACTATTCCCAACACCGCAGTCTTCATGATACCATGTATCGTTGGGGCAAGCAGTAGAGTTGATTTCAGCTTCTTGGTAAAACCGGCAAGTTTTGGTTGAGTAGCACCAATAGCATATACCATCCTCAAGACACTCTTCACAGGTAGAATTTCGTTTGCGACAAGGCGTTACTCCCACTGAAAAACGAAAAAGCATGTTTAAGTCTTTTCGCTAGAGTTTATTTAAATGGTCTTAAACTGGCTAGTGTTCCTGCTTTTTTTTCGAACCGTTTTGACTCTTTTAATCACCAGAAGCATTGCCCAAGTGAAACTGCAATAAAAACTGTAAATTTCATTTCGTAAAAGACAAATAATACCACGTGAACGTACTGCCCAGTTGCTCAGTTTCATTTGAATGGTCACCCCGGGGGATTTCATCCACAGATTCAAATGTTAGAAGCCCCGTACAATTACTCCATCATTCACTCCTCCAGTTGGAAAAAAAGAACCAAAACAAAACAACCAAGGAAGCAATTCTCAACTGCTATTGAACTAAGAAAAGCTAGTACCGATGGGAAATATGGTGCTTTCGAAAATCCTGAAAATAGTCAACAAATTTCATGTGCCGATTCACTGAAGAATGGACGAGTATTTATAAACAAACAGCGACACAAAGTCTCGCAAAAATATAACAGAGGAAAAGTCAGTTTTTAGACGGCATATTTTATGTAAGTTCAAAAATAACAAGTTTAAGATAATAACTTTTATTAAAATATCCAATAATGCGAATTTTGAAAATGACACGGAGAAGTTCGTATTGGTTTACAAAATCCTGCCGGGAACCTTATTTAATGCTTCATTCGCATGCGTACCTTTTATGAGGCAAAATACGGTGGAGATCAAATCGTGGGAGTCAAGTTTTAATTCGTACACAAGGCGCTTTTCACTCTTAGCCCTTTGTTACTACAGTATTTTCTAAGACCCTGTTTACATGGAGTGGGGGACCCCGGTCTAGTGGGGTAAGTTTTTTTTGTTTTGTGTCCCCCAGAGCGTGAAAACAAAAGAAACTTACCCCACTAGACCGGGGTCCCCCACTCCATGTAAACAGACCCTAAATGGGTGTCGACTATTTGGCAATTTATTTCACCAATAGAATCATGATTATTGAAGGGTCAGCGTTATAATGTTATTCTTTGTAACCAAAGTAAACATATCGCACGCGAAAGTATGGGTTGGGCTCATGTAATATTCCTCACTTGTGACTTTCCTTCAATTGCCTAGTTTCTAATTTTCAAATTCATAATTGGTTAACCAAGGCTGACCTGAGTGCGGGGGTTTTAAAACAAAAACATATAAATTATTTTTCATGAGTCTAAATGCCACTTTTCTTTTGTTTATACCCTTCAGGCTTTGAGACAAGTATGAGGTTTAACGGATTCGAAACTCAACTGGCTTATTTTCTTTAACATAGGTTTTAATTTATTAATGATAAAGCTATTTTCTGTTAAAGTGAACTTTGATCGTCTGAACTTCTTCTTTTCGGCAAAGCAACACCCTGATAGGTGTTCAATTATCGATATGCGTTCTGCCTTGTTGGGTGGGATAATGCTTTTTCAAAAGATGGTATTTTTCCCTGCCGGAGTAATTAACGGAGAGAGTTGTGAAGAATCAACAACCTTAATAACACTACATGCTAACAAAGGTGTTCTTTGTTCGATTCTTCTAGTCGGTATTTCGAGGTATTATTTGCATACAGGCTCAACCAGGCGTTTCCAAAGGTATTCTTTCAAGGAGTTGCAATGAGAATTTTTTTCTTTAAAACCAGTTCGATTCACCAGTCTGGTGTTGCAAGGCCATTTAGTTACATTTGGGACGGATGAAAACCTAATTTCCTTCTCTTGTAAAAACAACACAGTGACAGAATGTTCTTTAATTCCATTAATTGCCAAGAGATACTCATAAAAATTAATGACTTTAAATGCCACGCAGAACAATTAGAAAGTAGCTTATTTCTCGAGAGAGTTTTGCTGCCTTTTTCGTCCTCTTATCGCTTTAATCTCAATAACAAGACATTAACCTTTCGAATCTTCTTACTTTGGTGTCTAAAGTGATAAAAATGACCTGGAACATTTTCGTGAGCAAACAAAGAATGGAGTTACCAAGGCGAAATGTTTTGGTCGATTGTGCACGTTAATTCACCACATTTTGACGTAGCATGCGTAAAGTCAACGAAACGAACCAAAAAGGCCGTATTCTTTTAGTAGAGAACAGGGAAATATCTTTAAACAAGAGAGGTTTTTTCTCAATTATTGTTCTAAGCTACAGATAAGCTACTGTAGTTTCTCTCGGTAAAAAGCCTCTGTTAAACTCCAATAAGAGGCGAGGAATTCCTTTGGAAGTTACCCAACCGTGCAACACTAAAGCTATCTACTGTCCAGCTAGTCTAATAAAACGCACTTACTTGGGAAATAACAGCGTTCATGATATGCTCCATGTAATCCGGGACAAGACTGTTGTGCTGTAGTCATGTTATAATAAACATGACATTCTCCCTTTGGCTGGCACCAGAAGCAGAAATAATTTGTGGTGCAATTGTGACAATCGCTTTGACTCCCGCATAGAACACTGGCATTAACTGTTACTACACTTGTATTCTGAGAAGGGGTATCCATAACCGGTGCATTTATCTTCGCTAGTTCGTCTAGCGATTTATCGTAGTAATTCATCAAGGTTTTCTTGTTTTCGTCTAAGGCTGTTTGAGATTCACAAGCAGTCTTTCGATGTTCTGTCGGGCAGGTCACACTCCCTTGCCTAATGCACTCTCTCCTCTGCGACCCATCGCTACACCACTCACAGTTTTCACTATTAGACAAACACTTTTCGCAGTCCGGTACATCTTGGGCACACTTCTGGTCGTCAGAAAAGTAGTAATGCTTTCTTTGGCGAAGTTCCTTTTCATATCCATGGTTTCTGAGGCATTGTGAAAGTTGTACTGCAATGAGCAGTAAACTTATCAGAACGCATTTCATTATCTTTGGCCTAAAGTTGGCGGGAAGGCAGAATATTCTCCTTCCTCGGCACGGATTGTCTTTAGGAGTTTTCAGCGACGCCTTACTCACTTGAAGAGAGCTATTCCGTCTGTATTTACGTCCTTATGAAGACAAACTATTCAAAACAGCTTGGGAACCTCGAGTCACTGAAAAGTCTATTAGGCGCAATTTCTA